AAAAAAAAAAAAAAAAGGAACTGAGCCCAGAAACCCAACCTCACATTAAAACAAAACAAAACATCTGGTATTTGTTTTGGAAAAAACATATTAAATACACTTGGACATTTAATATAAAATAAATATGGTATGTTTTAATTTAGTGGAAAATGGTTTGTTTACTAAATTGTATTGACACACTTTGTCTTTTTAATACAGAAGAAAATAAATTAATCTTATACTTTATAACCATATAAAATATAAAATAATAACTTTTGAGAAAGTAAAAAATAGGGGCAATATTTGAATATCCTGAGGATAGAGGGAAATCCTTCACAAGACAGGAAACTCAGAAGTCATTGAAAAGGACAGATTTGACTATCTGTTAATTATTCATTATGTCAAAATCATAAGACTGATTAGAGAAAACAGAGGCCAAAAAATATGAAAGAAAGCACAATCTTATAGTGTCAGGTGTATAACCAAATAACAAAGATACATTCTTACATGTTTTCATGAGAATTAAGAGTTTCATGATTTTCATGAATTAAAATTAATTGATTGTGAAATGCGTTATCTATTAAAATGAAAAACAGACTTTTGACATAGTGATTCCTCTTTGGGGAATAAAATAATTAGTTCAAGTGAAATATGAATAAGAATGTTTGTTATGACATTGTTTATATTGGAAAAAGCAATTTATCACTAGTGAGTATGGTGTATTCTGTAGTTCTTCAAAAGAATGTGTTATATGTGTTATTCTGAAAAGATATCTATGATAGTAAATGGAGGGGAAAAAGCAATCAAGTGGCTGAGTAAGATATATTGTGTGATTGCTTTAAAAAGAATAAATCTCTATTAAATAAGCAAATAGGAGAAGGACTGCTAAAAAGAAAATAATACACAGATGCATACAAATACACATGTGTAAATACTTGTGAATTACTTAAATCTGGATTTATGAAGAGGACACTAATCAGCTAAATATTTGCTCCTTAAAATGTTACTCCATTTATACTTGACTTAAGTTATGTTTTCATAGAAAATTTCTGTTCCTTTGGATTACCATTGGGGGTGTCTATCACTGGAATTCATTGTAGAGCGATATTACACTAAGGTATCACAAGATTCATCTCCTGCAGACACATGATATGTGAGGAAGGTAGAGAAAACATTTTCATAGCACCAGGGTATTGACACATAGATTCATACTTTGATTCATACATTTATCCAGTAACTTTTTTTTTAAAGATTTTATTTATTCATGCAGACAAGAGCTGGGGTGCAGGCCAGAGATGCAGGGGGTGAGAGGATTCACCAGAGACAGAGTGGGGAACAGAACAGGCAGATCTACTGAAATACACTGCTGAGGGGAGCAGCAGTGGGTGAGACAGGAGAAGTCTGCTGCACCATGTGGGTCACCTCCCTGGCTGGCCAGGGATGGAACTTGTGCTGCAGTTGCTGCGGATTGCTTCATAGTGTTGTGCTTTACCCCTGCATCACCAGGGAGGCCTCCCAATAACTTTTTTCAATGAGCTTCTCTAATGTGCTATAGCAGGAGATTCTGCCAGGTCCCGGGGAGGGGAGATAATAAGGCCCTTGTCCTCAAGCTGCTCACAGTATGCCACATGTCTACAGGTGCACAAGCGCTAGTGTAGGGTACATTATGTGAGGTATGCCAATAAAAGTGTGTACAGTGGGCAGCAGGAGCTGTTTGCCAAGAATGAGACAAAGGGCAGAGAAGTGCAGTCCATAGCACACTGAGGAAGGAAGAGGCCAGGGCCACCCAAGTTGGACAGGCGGTGTTTTAGATACCCCCATGCCCAGCGTATGTGTAAACTGAATTTAGAACAAAGCCCTTTTTAGGTAAAGATAGAAAAAAACCTCAACTAACCAGATTGGTACCAAAGCCATATAGTACCTCAAATGATGAAAGGGACATTTATTTACCTATTTCTTATTATGGGAAATTAAAAATGTATATAGGGCCTCCCCTGGTGGTGCAGGCAGTTGAGCACCGCACTGTGAAGCTGTCCGCAGCCTCTGCAGTGCGGGTTCGATCCCAGCCGGCCTATGAGAATCCCACATGGCGAAGCAGACCTCTCCTGTCTCGCCCGCTGCTCCCCTCAGCAGTGTATTTCTTCAGTCTGCCTGTTCTGTTCCCCACTCTGTCTCTGGTGAATCCTCTCACCCTCTGGCGCATCTGGCCTGTACCCCAGTTCTTGTATAAAAATAAATAAATCTTTTAAAAAATGTATATAAAAGTACAGGAATAGTGTAAAGAACCCCATTGTGGACTTCACCCAGCTTCAACAATCATCATATGATTTCTCTCAATTTGTCTCTATTCCCCACTCACCTAATAGATTATTTTGAGGAAAATTCGAGGAATTATTTCACCTGTAAATATTTTAGTCTTTTTCTGTGATAAATTACAAAATATGGTTATATATTCATTTCATTCTCATATTTGCTTTCCTTTGTAATATGATAAGTCTGGTGTTCCCATGATGAGAGGAGGACACTTCCTCCCACCCCTTGGGCATGAGCTGGATGGTATCTTGCTTCGACCAGTAGAATGTGGTAGAAATGATGTTCTGTGACTTCCAAACAGAAACTTCAAGGGTTTGGCAATTTCTGCTTCTACTCTCCAGAAATAGTCCTGCCCAGGGACGGGAAAATAACAAGAGATAATGAATATCTATCTTATAAAAACATAGGTTTTTTCATGTTTTTTTTAAAGGATTTATTTCTTTATGCATACAAAAACTGAGGTACAGACCAGAGGTTGGGGATGGGTGAGAGGATCCACCAGAGACAGAGCAGGGAACAGAACAGGCAGACTGACTGAAATACACTGCTGAGGGGAGCAGCAGATGAGTCAGGAGAGATCTGCTGTGCCATGTGGGTAGCTCCCTGGCTGGCTGGGGATCGAACTTGTGCTGCGGAGGCTATGGATAGCTTCACAGTGCTATGCTTTACCCCTTGCGACACCAGGGAGGCCCTCTTTTCACAGTTTTGACAGTGCCTCTTTGGGGTAGATTTCCAGAAATGGGATTGCTAGGTCAAAGAGTGAATGCATATGTAATTTTGCTAGATATTGCCCAAATCTCTCTGTGTTATGTGTCATTTTGCATTTTCATCAGCAATGAATGAGACCACAGAAATATTTTTTCACATAATTGAAGTAAAATGGTTGCTGCTTTGCCAACAGTATGAACATTCTTCTGGTACAAAATGTCAGAGTAATCAAAGACAGATTATTTAGATGAAAATGCTGGTGATATATACTATGAAGAAGAACAAAGGGTGACTGAAGGTCTGATAAAGTCCTGAGGGATCTGTGTCATCTCTGCAGAGACATGAGTCCCATGAAGTCCTATGTAGGGTGGCTACAATCATACCATTTGCAGCAACATGGATGGAGCTGGAAGGGATCATGCTCAGTGAAATAAGCCAGAAAGAAAAAGAAAAATACCAGATGGTCTCACTCATAGCAGGAATTTAGAAGGCCCAAATAAGGGATTAGGAAAAAGACTAATTATAATAAAGTAACAATCAAAATTAACGGGCAACTATAAACTAGAGACATACTACAGGCGAGAGAAGGGAGTAGTATCAAAACAAGCCGGGGGTGGGAATTTTATGGGGACTATAACCAAGATGAAAATGTATACGTTGTACAAAAATTGAAATGATGTAAAAATATATAAAATAAAAAAAGATAATAACAAGTGTTGGCAAAGATAGGGAGAAATTGGGACCTTCATATATTGGGAGGAATGTAAAATGATGAAAGTTGCTTTGGAAAATGGTTTGGCATTTTCATCAAAAAATTAAACTTGGAGTTAGTATATGACTCAGAAATTTCACTCCTAGGTTATACCCAAGAGAACTGAACACAAATGTCCACACAAAATGTTATGCTTAAATATTTATAGCAGCTTTATTGATGGTAGCCAAAAAAAGTGGAAGCACCTCTAACACATCTATGAATGGATAGGCATAATGTGGTATATCCACACAGTGGAATATTATTTGGTTATAAAAGGGAATGAAGTACTAATACATGCTAAAGTTTGGATGGACCTGTAAATCATTATGCTAAGTTAAAGAAACCAGGCACATTAAAAAAAAAAGCCACATATTGTACGATTGTGCTCACGTGAAATGTCCAGAATAGGCAATCCTATAAAGAGAACAGGCAATCCTATAAAGAGAATAGGCAATCCTATAAAGAGAATAGGCAATCCTATAAAGGCAGAAAGTAGATTAGTGTTTGCCAGGGACTGGGAAGGAGGGAATGGGAGAAGTTACTGATAATGGGGCAGGGTTTCTCTTTGGAGTAATGAAAACATTATGAAAGTAGAGTGCGTTAGATTGCACAATCGGGAATATACTAAAAACATTTTATTTTTTTTAATTATTTTTTAAAAAGATTATTTATTTATGCAAGCACTGAGTACAGTCAGAAGCGCGGGAGGGTGAGAGAATTCACCAGAGCCAGAGCTGGGAGCAGAGCAGGCAGAAGGACCGAAGTACACTGCTGAAGGGAGCAGCGGGTGGCAGGAGAGGTCTGCGCGTCATGTGGACCCTCCTGAGGTGGCCGGGGATCGAACCGGCGCTGCAGAGGCTGTGGGCAGCTTTGCAACCCAACCTCAACCGCTGCGCCACTGGGGAGGCCTCTAAAAACATTTTAAAATAATGATGTTCATGGTCTCTGAATTATATTTTGTTAAAAACTAACTACTGTGGGAAAACCAAAAAATATTTATAGCACCTCACAGAACATTTAGGACAAATACATTAATATGACTTAATTGTTGGATGGCAAGAACTGCTAGAAATCTTTTTGGAGACCACAAATATAGCCATTGTTTGTTGACTAATAAGATAGGAGTCATCTTTCATTTATTTGCCCCATGTAATCTCCAAAAATTTGGGTCTCAGGAGTTGCTCTTGGTAAGAACTAATTCATTTCCAACTACCCTTCTTAAGCATCTTTTACATTTTACTTTCAGCATCAGTATGACTACCTGCTCCACAGTGGCTGCCCTGGGAATGATGCCACTCTGCCTTTACCTCTACACTTGGTCCTGGAATCTTGAGCAGAACCTCACCATTCCATATCAGAATATAGGTTTGTATCTGACTTGCAAAATGCAATACTAAACAGAACTGGGGGTGGTAACAAAGGTCATAACTGTTGTTTACTATGTGTCTCCTTTATGCAGGGATTTCATATATTTCTTTTTTTTTTTTATCGTTTTGCTTAAAGTTGTGGTTTACAAGAACCTATTGACATTGTTACATGAGGACTTAGTTTACTTGATTTTAATTAATCTTGGAAATGGGTGCCTCCCATCAAGAAGAAACAGATATATTTCTAATTTAGTTCTCTAAATAACCCTCCAGTATAGGTCCTATTACTAGTTCTACTTCCTAGATTTTTGGAATTAGGGGCTCATGCAGCTGGTAAGTGCAGAACTAGAATTCTTGGGGATCTGACTGCAATTCCAAACTTATGTCCTCTATGGGAGTTCACTTTTGAAAATAAAAGCAAAGAACTTATTTGTCTTTTTTAAAAGGAAGAAAACAAAGCAACTCATATATAATTTATTCCAAACCAATTGAACTATTTATTATTAACTGGATCACAGTGGCTCCAAATAGGAGTTTGTTTCTGCAGCTCTATTTTTCACATTTTCTGTGGGCTTTGACTTCTTTTGCGATTTAACATAAATGATTCCTACTGATTATTAAGGCATAGTCACATGTACAACCTCACCTATGTGTCTATTTAGCTCTATTCTTGATGTTATTTCTCATTAAACTGTCCTTTCTCTTGAGGTCTCTGTGGACTTAACTTGCTTAGAAGGAGATGTGGGAAAATGATCTGCCTGTTTTAGTTTGGCCCGAGCTTTTGGAGAATTGGTAAAACTATGATTTTTAAAGCTCTAAAGTGTCAGTTTGGCGTCTTAGTCAGCACTTGGAGGCCTTATGTTAGTGACCAATAGTTCAAAGCTTTGGGGTTACCATGTTGTGGCCTCAGATGGAGTCTATAGAAATTATAAAATTTGAGTGAAACTTTAATTTAGAAATTATGGCTTTATGTACAGTTATTTAATCTGACAGTATATTTTGCAAAGCACCAGTAAACAATTAAAACCACAAAATGTTATGGGCAACTCATATAATAATATAATCACACTTTGGAGCCAGTATTGCAGGCATTGGGCCTGATTTGGGATGTGTCCCTCACAACTGTTAAGTGTCTGGGCCCTGCTGGCAAGCAGACCTGGGCTTCAGCGAGCCTGCCTCCAATGCTTTTATGCACCTGTGCTAATTTAAAAGGCATTTCCTCTATACATCTTTGGGTACCTAGCTTCACTGGGAGAAGATGAGAAATTGCTTTGATGTTTTTTTTTTTTTAAAGATTCATTTATTTATGCATACAAGAACTAGGGTACAGGCCAGAGGTGCAGGGGGATGAGAGGATTCACGAGAAGCAGAGGGGGATGGCAACAGAACAGGCAGACTGACTGAAATACACTGCTGAGGGGAGCAGCGGGCGAGACAGGAGAGGTCCCCTGCACCATGTGGGTAGCTCCCTGGACGTCCAGAGATTGAACTCGTGCTGCAGAAGCTGCAGATAGCTTCACAATGCTGTGCTTAACACCTTGCACCACCAGGGAGGCCTGCTTTTGTTGTTTAACAAGTGCTGTTTTTACATCTGTGACATGTATTCCTTCCTTTGTGAAGCCAATGACCCACTGGCCTCCAACAGGGAAGTAACGACTGTGGCTACAGTGTGGTATCCCCATACTAGCACCCAAAGAATATCACAGACACATAATGGTCCTCCTGTCACCTAATCTTTAGGTTGTCTCTAAAATCCCTTTGCTTATCAGAGGGACTCTGAGAGGGAAATGTTAGCCTGGTTGTGAAGGTGTTCAGTAGTTAGGAACCTTCTAAGACTCATCCAAAGATTAAGAAAAAATTTTTTGGAAGTGGGTATAGAAATAAATTGTAGTTCTAATTAAAGCTTTTACTGAATTGAAATAAAATTGCTGAGGTTTGGGAAGTTAGGGGGAAAGAGCATTCTGCCTGAGAATTTTTCTTCTTTTCAGGAATTACCCTTGCATGCCTGATCATTCCTGTGGCCTTCGGCATCTATGTGAATTATAGGTGGCCAAAGCAATCCAAAATCATTCTCAAGGTAAGCAGCACCACATGGCAGGCAGCACCACGTGGCGGTCAACACATCCTCATGCTTGGAGATCTGACATAGGCCAAGGCTGACACAAAACGATCCAGGCCACACAGTCCTTACCCAGCAATTTTCCTCACATGGCCTGCATTTGGGGATCCAACCTCCATATTTCCTCCACTTGTAAGCCTTACTCTCTGTCACCCCAAAGACTGGTAGACTCAGGTTTATGATACCTTGGAAAGCTTGGAACTTGTGCTTCAGTGACAGAAAAGCTAAGCCCTGTATGTGGCCAGAGAAAACTTAGAGCCCATTCATTCATAAGGCTTCACACAGGCACACAGGTGAAAGCTGTTAAGTGTGCATGAAATGGACCCCAGTGTTCAGGAGTGTGGCTGGTTTCATCTGTGTGAAGAGCTGTCTTTCAGAAGTATTCTTGGGGGCTCTTCAAAAGTTGCAGTTTATATAAGGGCTGCTAATCATGTGAATAACTTTGAAAATGTAATAATCCAGAGTCACTGAGGAGTCTGACAATGGAGTGATGTACCTGGAACCTCCTACCTCCTCTTGACTTTACGGGGTTGTTTTTTATCTGCTGGAGAAGCAAACATCTTTCTTTAGTTAAAGAACAGGCATCTCAGTGTTCTCAATCTCCTTAAGCGTTTTCCATTTTTCCAATTTTGTGTCATTTTAGAAGATATAAGATTGTATCATATGCTGCTTTTGTGAAGATTTAAAAATATTTTATTTTCCTTTATAAAGAAAGAAATATTATGGGCTCATTGGCGGTGCAGCAAGCAAAGCTTGGATCGTTTTAGTTTGGGATTTACGGTTTGGCTGTACCTGACAGTACACCGCTACCCCATTTGCCTGCATAAATAGTTACTACTTCCCCAGTTTGGCTCAAGGTTGAACAATTCCCACTATTCCTCCAGGGAGATGAAGGAGGAGAGGAGAAGGGTTGACACCCAAGCAAGTGAGTCAGACACAGAGCTGGAGCTAACCACTGTGCATTTGTGTAGCACATGGGTGATTTTAACATTTATGGGACCCACTTGACTTCCTTCTTTATTTCACCTACACTTATGATATAGTCCCATCTTTTTCAAATTGCTTATTTGTCATTTCAGTAGGAGAAAATATCCAAAGTGGCAGAATATGGTTATAATTTTGTTTATAAAATGAGGAGAGTATGATCATGGGAACCTCTTGTTTTTCAAGTATTTTATATTTGATTACTTTCTTAAAAGTAATCAAACAAACCTCCCCCTCACCCCCCAAACATGATTTTGGTGATTCCAGATCCTCTATTCATCCATCAGAGTCACTGAAGTAATCAGAAGACTTTTCCACATGTCAGTTTTATTATCTGTAAGAAGCATATTTTACCCACTCCTCCTTTCCTTTGTCTCTTTCATAGTTTTGTTGCAGAAAATATTTAATAATTACTAAATATTCTAGAGCATCCTAGTAAAAAATGCATAATTTAATTATTATATTGATATAGCTTCATTCTCTGTTCTTAGTTCTTTTTTAAATTTGATGCACTTTCTAAACAAGTTGCTCTTGGCAAATGTTCAAATTTTTAAAATCCCCTTTTGGGGCACCTGCACCCCTATGTTTATAGCAGCCTTATTTACAATAGGTAAGCTATGGAAACAACCCAAATGCCCAAAAGTAGATGACTGGATCAAGAAGATGTGGTTTATATACACAATGGAATATTACTCAGCAATCAAGAAAGATAAACTATGCAATTTGAAGCAACATGGATGGAGCTGGAAGGGATCATGCTCAGCGAAATAAGCCAGAAAGAAAAAGAAAAATACCGGATGGTCTTACTCGTAGCAGGAATTTAGAAAACCTAAATAAGGGACCAGGAAAAAGACTAACTATAATAAAGAAAAAATCAAAATCAACAAGCAACTATAAACCAGAGACACACTACAGGGGGTGGGGGAGAGAAAGAAACAGGATCAAAACAAGGCAGGTGGGAATTGCATGGGGACTATAACCAAGATGAAAATGCATACATTGTGCAAAAATGAAAAATGATGTAAAATATATAAAATAAAATAAAATAAAAAATAAATAAAATCCCCTTTTGGTAGAAAGATGAAGAGGGAAGTTCACCAGTCAAACCCTTTGTGTGTTCCATTATCTTCCCACCTGTTTCTGTATTTGAGCCCCAGAGCTCTCTGTTTTATTTGGTTCTCTGTGACCATCTTCTTCCAAACCCTGAATGACCAAGCTGGACTCTGTTATTAGGTGCATAGTCTGTTGTCTATGCAGTATGAATGAGCATTTGCTAAGATCCCAATTTTCTCCCAAATATTCTGGGTCTTACTTCCTATCTTATCTAAAACTCAAAGTACTAGGAAATTTTTTGTTGATTTTTTTGTTTTTGTTGCATGACAAAAGAACAATATCCATTCGTGAGTGATTAGAGGTGACTGTCACAACATCTTATACACATTATATTAATATTTGCTCAATTGTTTAATGAAGACTGGATAAATTTCCACTTGGAAATTCCAAGTAGTGAAGAGGTGGTAGGAGGAGAATGGTCGATGGTCAGGCAGAGGGTTGAGTCTCACAGGTTACTGGCAAGGTCTAAGAAGTAGGGGTGTTAGATGTTTGTCACATTTTACTTATTACATCATGTGCTGCTATTGTGACGATTTAAAAAATATTTTTGTTAAATTTTGTTCTATCCATGAAAAACTTCACTACCCTTTGGCCAAATCTTCTACTTGAAGAAAAATGATATGATCATAAAATAAGAAGTCTTAGGTTTGTATTGCGCCTAAGCAATTTCTACCTTAGCCAAGTCACTTGACCGTTGTCACTTAGGTTTCTTCTCTGTAAATTGAGATAGAATTTGTGGTCCTTAAGTTTTCCTTCTGTTCTAGAGCACTGAGCAATGTTTTAGAGCAGTGGTGGACTTTGCATCGTAGAGCAGAAGACCATGATGATCACATGTACTTATTTTATGGTTTGCTTTAGATTGGGGCCTTTGTTGGTGGGGTCCTCCTTGTGGTGGTTGCAGTTGCTGGTGTGGTGCTGGCGAAAGGATCTTGGAATTCAGACTTCACCCTTCTGACCATCAGTTTCATCTTTCCTTTGATTGGCCATGTCACGGGTTTTCTGCTGGCACTCCTTGCCCACCAGTCTTGGCAGAGGTACAGTTAAATTATCCATAAACTTTTTATAAGGAGAGTAAGTTAAACACACTGCCACTGGCAGGCTTTGCTGCTTGGCTATGTCAGGACACATAGAGTTTTGACTACAGGGTGGATGGGTAAGGACAACTTAACCTAAAAAACACAAAAATTTCATGATAAATCTTTCTGTAAATGAAAGCAAGGGCCAACCTGACAAAAATTGTAATCTGTGAAATCAGGATTGGACTGTTGTTAGGATCCAGATTGTTGAAATCTGGATGAAATTTCTTATTCTGTTCTTACTCAAGTAACTAAATAGGAGGAGTTAGATAGTTGGAGTAAATATAAAGATCATTTTAAGCATGAGCAAGAATTAAGAGTTTAAGCCTTTACCAACTATTCATGACAAATTAAAAAAAAAGCTAATTATAATAAGCAAGAGGATAAGGGAAATACACTTCATAAGATAGGAATTCATCTTAAATATTTTAATTTATAAATACTGTGAAATATTGAAAACTGCAGTATGCTATGTTGACATGATTGTAATGAGATGAGCATTGTCATGTGATGATGGAGGGAATGTAAATTGGGATAAGCTCTCTGGAAGGTAATTTAGTCCTAACAGCCTTTATAACTATTTATAGCTGTTAGCTCAGTGATTTTACTTATAGAAATCCATCCAGAAATTAGCACTATCAGATAAGCATACAAATATTGATGTGCAACAATGTTAATGGTGATGTTATTTATAACTATAAAAAATAGAATCAATTTAAATATCTAATAATAAGGAAATATTTAATTCATGATGTTTTTATGTGATGGAATACGATAATACATCCTTGATTTTGGAAAATATGAGATAAATTTAAATTTAAAAAGAAGAGAAAACAGTATGCATTTCGATTCATATTTTGTCAAAGAAATCAAAGGAAATTTACACATGGAAAAATCTTGGATGAAGGGCCTCACTGGTGGCACAAGAGGTTAAGACGCAACCTATGAAGCTATCTGCAGCCTCTCCACATGAGTTTGATTCCCTGGCCGGCCAGGGAGCAGTTGCCCACATGGTGCAGCAGACCTCTCCTGACTCCGCCGCTGCTCCCCTCATCAGTGTACTTCAGTCAATCTGCCAGTTCTGTTCCCCACTCTGTCACTGGTGAATCCTCTCACCCCCAACACCTCTGGCCTAAATCCCAGCTCTTACATGCATAAATAAATAAATCTTTAAAAAAAAAAACTTGGATGAAATATACTACATGCTACATGCTCAGAGTATTTAATTTTGTATAGTGGGACTAAGAGTAATTTTAATTTCTTAATATTTCCTTGGTACATATTTTAAGGTTTTTAATAAGTATGTGCAACTGTTAAAATCATTAAATAATCATAATTAAAAAGAATTATTGAAGAAAATTAATGTATGCATTGGAATTCCAAAGGTGGAGTTTGGGAAAGTTTTTATTGGCTTTGTGCTATTTGGGTATCACTTAAGATTGTACTGAGTCAGGCTCCTGCAAGTATATCTGAGTTACTTCTTGCTATAAGCCTATGAGGTAGATTATATTAGCACCCTGTTTTCAACAGAAGACTAAACCTAAAAGATAAGTGACTTGATCAAATTCACAAAATCACAATGTAGTGGAGCAAGGCTTTGAGCTCAGCTTTGTTTCTAAAAGCAAGAATTAGGAACACAGACTATTGAATGGTTAACATGTAATTGGAGCCAGAGTAAAAGTATTCCTATAGCAAAGTGTAGTCAACAACCTTGGTTTTTGTGTAGAAGAACTGGGGTGGAGGCCAGAGTTGGGGAGGTGAGTGGATTCACTAGAAACAAAGAGGGGAGCAGAACACGTGGATCTACTGACATACACCGCTGAGGGGAGCAGCAGGCGAGTCAGGAGAGGTCTGCTGCACCGTGTGGGTCTGCTTCCTGGCTGGGGATTGAACTCAGTCTGTTTATGTGTAGCGCTGAGACTTAACCCCTAGGCCATGGGGAGGCACAACAACCTTGTTTTTTTATACTCAATCCCTTGAGAAAGATTAGGGCTGAGATACTGTACCTGCCCTGACTCGCGGTAGCTTAATCATATCATATTCGTGCCAGGGGTCTGAAAGAAGTGAGGGAAGTCTGAAATAGCATGGTGAGCAACAGGGTAAGCAGAAATAAAAGAGCAGCAGAACTTCTCCCATACTACTGACAATATTTTCTGTTCTTTTTTTTTTAATCAGTTTTTTTTTTTTAAGATTTATTTATTTATTTATACAAGCACTGGATACAGTCAGAAGCGCGGGAGGGTGAGAGGATTCACCAGAGCCAGAGTGGGGAACAGAACAGGCAGATCGACGAAGTATACTGCTGAGGGGAGCAGCGGGCGGCAGGGGAGGTCTGCGTGGCGCTACAGAGGCTGCAGGCAGCTTCGCAACCCAGTGCTCAACCGCTGAGCCACCGGGGAGGCCCTACTGACAATATTTTCATTCCTATATCACACCCCCTTGTTACCTCCAAATTCCAATCCAGCTTACATAGTGATGGTGCTTTAACTTTGGAAACATCTCTTCTTTCTTCACCTCCGTTTATAAAATGGACACTAGCGACAGATGAAAGTGCTTCCTAACTGCCAAGGTCCTGCCTATGTCTCCCTTTTGCTGCCTCCCTGTTTTTTCTTTTCCAGGTGTGGTTTCTTTCTTTTTTGTAATTAAAAAGCCAAGAAATTATAGAAAAGTAGAGAGTAGAAAAAATGTATTCTTTAAAGAAACCGTTTTAGACATCTGGTTATCACTGAGGATTTTTAAGTTTATTTTCAAGTATTGTTTAGTTTATACTGTTTCCTACCTCTGGTTCACTGTTCATCTCATCTCCTCTGACCCTCTACTCTGCCACACATACTGAGAGCATGTGCAATGCCTCCTGAGAAGACCAAGCTCTTGTCTGTCCCTGGGGCTTTAATTTTAATTATTTCTGCTACATTAAATGCCTCCTCCACTCTTCCCATCCTTTAACCCCACTCTTACACTGTGAAGCCTCTTCTAACCACTTAGGCTACTTTTCATTGCACACCGCAGGTCTCTGGCCCTAGACTATCTTTGTGGTGTGTTATTACTGAACCTTTCTCGTGTGTATTTAATGTCTTTTCACCCCGATTCCAAGGGCAGTCTGCATAGGATTCTACTTTAGGGTACTGCTAAGGAGACCCCCTGTGGGGCAGGCACTCAGCAAGTAAATTATTAATAAGGAAATATTATTTTAGTGCCCTAAGCGCGTTGCTTACATTTGTCAGTGTGCATAAGAGAAAACTTAAAAATTGTTCTTATTGCTAGTATGTAACTGCCCAAATTTCTTCGTTGTAGGTGCAGGACAATCTCCTTGGAAACTGGAGCTCAGAATATTCAGATGTGTGTCACCATGCTTCAGCTGTCTTTCACCGCCAAGCAGTTGGTCCAGATGCTTAGCTTCCCCTTGGCATATGGACTCTTCCAGCTGCTGGATGGATTTCTCATTGTTGCAGGTAAGCAGAGCCCCCGGCGTGTAGACTTGACTGCTAATTGTTGGCCCAACTTACCAACTGCTATTTGAGTCTGAATGTGCCTGTGCTGCCTCATGATACATTTTTTTTTTGTCTGATATTTCTGGGAGAAATGGTAGTGTATAAACAAGACTCATTAGCCACAAATGGAAGTTTCACAGAAATATATAAAAATTGTGATAATGAGGGGCCTCCCTTGTGGCGCAGGTGCTTGAGTACAGCGCTGTGAATCTGTCCGCAGCCTCTGCAGTGCCGGTTTGATCCCGGCTGGCCTCGGAGCAACCCACATGGCAAGCAGACCACTCCTGTCTCTTGCGCTGCTCCCCTCAGCAGTGTTTTTTTGTCAGTCTGCCTGTTCTGTTCCCTGCTTTGTCTCTGGTGAATCCTCTCACCCTCCCTCACATCTGGCCTGTATCCCGGCTCTTGCATAAATAAAATTTTAAAAAATATTTTAAAGAATGTGATAATGAGCTTATAAATAAACATGTTTCACAAGAAACAATGAGCTATCAGATTCCATTATTTGGTAAGTCTCCATGAGCAATCATTGATCTCAAAAGTGACATTTGTTATGTTTGAGTCTTTTTTTTGTTGTTGATTATTAAGAATCATGAGGTCTTCCACATGCCAAGTTATTTCATGTGCTCTGTGACTAAGAATTGTGAGAAATGGCCATGAGATTTTTTCTGCTATGAAATATATTATTACATACACAGATATTGAAATATTTCATATATTGGTTACCTATCTCTACAGTCAAATCTGTATCAGTTTTGGAGTCAGTCATTACAGAAATCTAGAGGAAGTAATTTTATTTATTTATTTTTAAAATTAATTAATTTATATATATTGTACATCATTATTCATTTTTGTACAATGTTTGCTTTCTCCTCTCAGGTGTAGTCCCTATAAAATTCCCACCACCAGTTCACCCGTGCACCATCACCATAGTCCCCTGTGCTCTTCCCTCCCCTGTTTTGATCCTTCTTCCTCCCCCCTCCTACAGCATGTCTCTGATTTATAGTTGCCTGTTAATTTTGTTTATTATTATTATTATCATTATATTTTCTTGATTCTTATTTGTTTCCCCTATATTCCTCCTAGAAATGATACCATCCAATATTTTTCTTTTTCCTTCTGGTTTGTTTCTCTGAGCATAATCCCTTCCAGCTTATAGGAGGTAAATTTAAACAAAGATAAATAGGTGTGCACACACACATTTGTATATATATTTTAAACTTGAGCCATGTAATTTCTTGCTATTGTCAGGGAACAGGTTCTGAGTAATCGTCAATGATTACTGATACAACTTATTATATGCTGATTGTTGTTATATACTGATTACTGATATAATAATCAATATAAGGATACTTGGGATTAATTTTTTTCCAAAATATTAGAGAAATCCTAGCAGAGTGAAAGTTCTGCTCTTAGGTCTAAGTTTACAGCCTTCTCATGGGGAGGCAGTTTGTCGACTGACTAACTCACTGCTGACTGAATAGAGGGATGGATGGATGGATGAGCCATCAGCAACCTGATTGCTGAATGAATCTCAATTTCAAATGGTCCATTCCAGGTAGAATTAGCCTTTTGCTACACTGAATTATTTCATTTCAATTTTCTCTTTTTTTCTCCTTATTTTTCCTGTATTGTTATAAACATATTACTTAAAACAATCCCCGAAGTCTTGGTAAGTACATGATGTCACACAACTACAGTCTTTGCTAAAGTGATCTTTTAATGCTTGTATGTTAACACCTAGCATATCAGGTGTACAAGAGGAGATGGAAGAATGATCACAGAAAAGAGAACCCAGAGTTTACAGAAGCCTGCCAAAAAATGTCCACTTCTCCCAAAGAGACTAGTGCTTTCTTGGAGGTGAATGAAGAAGCTGCTGTAGCTCCTAGACCATCAGGACCACAGGACTCTTGAATCAACTGGCCACATCTCTGCATGTACACATGTACACAGGGGCTTGTTGGTGTGACCAGCCCATCCTGCTCAGCGGCCAGTAAAGATAGTGCAGAGCTGATGTGAGAATCTCATTGGCAGGGCTCGTGGAATATTTGAGTGTCAAATGTTGAGTGTCAAATGTTAAAATATTTATATTTGTGTGTGGATTGTGAATCGGGATAGGTATCCCTTTTTGGGGATGTATTCTGCTGATTTCAGAGTTTTTTGAGGGGTTCACACAGCATATTTACTAACTACTCTGTGTCTTCGTGTCTTCCCACACAGTGAAGAGCAACACCCCTTGTTAATGTGCGTGTAAGCTCGCGGGAGTGAGGACTGTCTGCGTAGAGGGCTCTCACCTGTACTGCAGGGCAAGGACAGTGTCTAGCCCCACTTGACTTCTGGCTTTTTGCAGTACTAGGAAGGAAATATACAGCTCTTACAGAAATGGGGTCCTTCTTCAAAAGATATTTTTATGTGCTTGAAAATCTTTTTGGGTTATAATACAAGCTTAGTGGAATTCAATGAACACATGAGGTTAAAAAGTAAATGCCTGTATTTTTACTACTTTGGGTAGGCATACCGATATCCTACTAATATGTATTTATAGGTTGTATCACTTAAAAAAATTGAGATCGTTCCATCTGTGCTGTTTCATAAGTCACTTAATGATATATTATGGAACATCTTCACCTGTCAGTCTGTGACGATGTGCCTCATTCTTTAGAACGGTGGCTTCATAGAAGTATTCCATGGCGTGGAAGGACTGTGATGTACCTAACCATTCCTTATTCATAGACAATTAGTTTTCAACTTATTGGTTTTAGACAGCTGCTACAAACACCTACGTGCCTGTGCAAATATTTCTGTAGGATCTCTTGCTGCAACTTGAAGTGCCAGGCCAATTGCACATTAAAATCATGGACAGATTGCATTCAGGCCCTGTCATGTGCAGCTGCGCTGGAGGGCCTGGTTTCCCAGTCACAAGTCCAAAGAACGGCCAGTTCCAATTTGTGAAAATATCTCATTTAAAACTGCATTTTAAAAACAATGAAGTATTTTTTATGAGCACTTTCCTGTTCCTGTCTTTGACTACATTTCTATTGCACTTTTCCTTTTTGTCTTATAAAATTTAGCACCTTATGGATAGTGATTCTTTGTCCTATGATTTGCTGAAATTTGACGTACTCTTGTTTTCCTGTAATGTCTGTTGTATGGAAGTTTTAAATATATTTTTTTACATATTGTTACTTGTCTTTTAAAGAATGTTTTGTGTCCTTAATAGACTACAAATTTTAGAATATTTATATTTTTGTGTGAATTGTGATTTGTGAATTGTGATTTCTGATAAGAACCCTCTTTGAGAATGTATTTGACCCCTTTTCAGGAAGTTCTTTTTGGGGATTTACACAACTTATTTCCTAACTGTCGTGTGTACTTTTGTGTTCCTGTGCAATAAACAGCGCCTGGCAGTAGGTGAAATTCATCCTCTGTGTCCATTTTGACATTTAAAATTAAAAATTATCATTAAAAAAATTTTACGTGTGTTTTCCTATTACTTTTATGGGCTAAATATGTTACATATTTATTTCATTTTGAATTTGTTTCTGTATGGTGTCTTTTTTTTTTTTGCAAGTTTATTTATTTATTTATACATACATACATACATACATACATACAAGCACTGGGTACAGTCAGAAGCGTGGGAGAGTGAGAGAATTCACCAGAGCCAGAGCGGGGAGCAGAGCAGGCAGAAGGACCGAAGTACACTGCTGAGGGGAGCAGCGGCCGGCAGGAGAGGTCTGCGCACCATGTGGGACCCTCCTCCGGAGCAGCAGGGGATTGAACTGGTGCTGCAGAGGCTGCGGGCAGCTTTGCAACCCAGCGCTCAACCGCTGCGCCACCGGGGAGGCCATGTATGGTGTCTTAAGAATGAATTATCTATTAATTAATTGTCTTGATATCATATATAGAATTATCCATCTTCACTGATATCAGATGCTACCTTTATCATCCAACTTTTCATAAAATGGTTTTGTTTCCATTTTTCTGTCTATTCTTAAAGTTTTGAAACATGAGAAAGGTAGTCTGAGATTTAGTGCTTTGCAATGTTATTTTGTAAGCATTTCCAGGAATCTTTAAGTTAATATTTACTCACATGATAATGACATTTTTTTTTAAAGATTTATCTATCTATTTATCTATCTATGTATTTATTTATTTATTTATACAAGAACTGGGGTACAGTCCAGATGTGCGGGAGGGTGAGAGGATTCACCAGAGACGGAGCAGGGAACAGAACAGGCAGACTGATGAAACACACTGCTGAGGGGAGCAGCGGGCGGGACAGAAGAGTTCTGTGGCGCCATGTGGGACCCTTACCAGCTGGCTGGCATGGAACCAGCACTGCAGAGACTGTGGACAGCTTCACAGTGCGGTGCTCAACCCCCTGTGCCACCATGGGAGGCCTGATAATGATATTTTTATAGCATTTATAAGAATGCCTTTTTGAGAACCCTCACACACTGTTGGTGGAAATATGAACTGATCTAGCCTCTATGGAAAACAGTATGGAGATTTCTCAAAATGTTAAAAATGGACCGGCCATATGACCCAGCAATTCCACTTCTAGATAGCTACCCAAAGAATGCAAAAACACTAATTCAAAGGGATATATGTACTTTTATGTTCATTGTAGCATTATTTACAATAGCTAAATTATGGAAATGGCTGAAGTGCTCAAAGACAGAGAAGAGGATCAGAAAAATATGGTACATACACACACACAGTGGAATATTACTGCCATTGCCACAACATGGAGGGAACTGGAGAGGATCATGCTAAGTGAAATAAGTCAGAAAGAAAGATAGAAACCAGATGGTCTCACTTATTTGTGGAATATAGAGAAACATACCAAAGGGTCAGTCAAAGCCAAACCAGCAATAAACTCAACATCTGACTGCAAAGCTGAAGCAACCAGTGGAAGAAGAAGGTGGGATGGAATGGAAGTGGGGAGGAAAGGTGCCCAATGGAACATGGTGGAGGACTGTTTGGGGCCTGGTGGTGGGCAGAGTGTGAAAGGTTGTATAACTTTAAAAGTTTGAGTCTATAATCCCTAGAGCAGATGAAAGGTAAACATACTTTACTTCAAGAAATAGTTTGAGGGCAGGGACCCCCCAAATTAAACAACACCACAAGATCCCCTGCCTTTTTGATAGTACAGAAATAACCTCGTTAGCCTTTGGTGTCACAAGTATTATTTATGTGGGAAAAAATGTGCAGACTTGTGAAATGACTTTTAACTCCCAACTGTTGCTCTACTACTTGGAGATTCTCACAGCCATCTGATACAAGTTTGTGTTTTGAGAAACTAGTCCCTGCTATGTACAGACATGTAGGAGCTTGCCCTTGTGGTTTATAGTCTAGTGGCAAAAAGATCACTGCAATGAACACAGTGTATAGTATTAACAGAGATTCTCCAATCTAAAATGAGAATTACCATGAGTTTTAAAGAATCAACCTAAAATGAGTTTTAAAATTATTTCTTTATGTAGGTATTTAGCATAAATGGTAAAATCCAATGTGCTAAGGAAGTGGTCGGTATTTACCAAGGTCAGTGCATGCCCAGGATGAAATACGTGCTGTAAGACAGAAGCAACACAAATTATTGTAAGGGTTTGGAAGCAGTCATATCAGAAGACCAATATCTCTAGAGATGGGCTGTGAATGTGTTACTGAGAAGAACTGGAAATTGTAAAGTTGTCCAGGAGGCCACATATTATTTTTAGGACAAATAATATTGTTGTAATATTGTGATTTATAGGAAATATATATATTTAGGACTGAAATAAATTTTTCACACATATTTGATTTCCATTCACAGTTCCAATCTCACAGTTCCTTCAAAAGTCTTGGGATTTCCATAATGTTGAGTTTCTTGTTATGTTAAATCAATTTTTGAAAACCACGAATAAATCAAATCTGAGGTGGGTGTCCTGGGAATCTCTGACTTATAATGAGTTGATCAGAAGCATAGATCATAACCTGGGATTTGTGACAGGTAGCGGAAGTATGAGGAAAGGTAGTGGGAACCTCTGATCTATAGTCAGTGAGAAGCAGGAGCTTGCCTGGGGCTTATAGCCGGCATCTGAACTATGATCTTGAGACTTACCCTGTGGAAAGTGAGGCATTCCCGGTGGATAGCACCAAGACTGAGTTGAATTCTTGGATACTGTTGGAGCCTGAGAATTGCTGACTGGTGTGGAGAGGCCTCAGCACCCACACCCCCTGTTGGAAATTGGGTTACAGGGGACACCACCTTCAACACAGTAATTAAAGAAAGTTCTAACTGAATAAATTGTGTTTTAACTGATGTGGATTTTAAGTTCCTGAAATCCACGGCCTATATGAAGCTCAGAAGTGGGACCAGAGAAATAGGGTTAAGAAGAATGAGTCTAATTATGTCTGGAAAAGTGAGGGGCATAGTTGGGGTAGCTTAGGACTGTGGACAGAACACGGGACTGCCTGATGTAACCCACATAAGGAGCAAGAACGCTCTAGAGTCATGGTTTAGTGAGCAAACCTGAAATTAAATCCTGGCTCTTGGGCAAGTGACATTCCTGGATTTCAGTTCCTTCTCTTAAAGGATGTTAGCATTCAATCCTCAACATCCTGAAAGGTAACACAAATCACCTGGAATAATGAATGGGTAGTGACAGCTAGGTGTTCTGTCCTCTTCTCTTTCTTTGTGTAGTCAATTACTCAGAGGGTAAAAACAATAAATCAGCTTAACTCATTTTAATGAATCACATTGTAGTCCATAAGCAACCTGTGGGCCAGCCTTTGTGTGTACTTTTTCCATCTGGAGCCGAGTCCTGAGTGGCCATCTTACTCATTCTGCTAGAGCTAAGCTAAAAAACTGGCAACATTGCTAACCAGCCAGTGTCCTGAAAGTTTACTTAGTATATAACCTTTGGAATAGACTTCATTTTGGGTGAATGGATAAAATTTTATCTCCAAATCTTCAAAACTGAAGGCTACTTTCAAAAACTCAGTCTCTGTGAATCTCTTTTAACACAAATTCAGATACTTCCGGGATCAGAAAGATCAAAAAAGACAGACATAGCCTCTAAGGAGTGATAGAAGCTTTGGCAGAGCTGGAAATGCACACACTGCTGGTTACTACCCAACATTCATTGTTTTCTTTGTCCTTATTATCTACCAAGATTTTGTTCAGGACAGCAATATGCCTAGCTAAAAATAACTTTCTGGAAGCTGGAGTTGACTATGCAGTTTTTGCTAACAAGATAGAAGTGGAAATCTGCTTGTGATTTATGGTGAGTTTCGCTTTCCTGCCCACGGCATTGACTGACCCTTTCTTGTCATTTTTTACTATTTTCTTTCTAGAGTGTAGGTATAATATCTGGAGCTACAGCAGCCTTAGAGGACAATTATGTATCTGTTGATGTTCTTGAGCTGTAGACTCAATTCAATCAACTGCTTCCTTCTGAATTTATTTACTTAAGAATACATCTCTTATTTGTGTAAGCCATTTTGGTTGGTTTTTGATTATTTGCAGCCAAGTGCAATTACAAGTTGACCTTTAAAAATTCATTTTATTTTTTTAAAGATTTATTTATTTATGCATACAAGAACTATGGTACAGGCCAGAGGTGTGGGGGGGCAGGAGGGGATTCACCAGAGACAGAGTGGGGAACAGAACAGGCAGATTGACTGAAATACACTGCTGAGGGGAGCAGCAGGTGAGAGAGGAGAGGTCTGCCCCGCCATGTGGGTAGCTACCTGGCCGAAAGGGATTGAACTCGTGCTGCAGAGGCTGCAGATAGCTTCATGGTGTTTAACCCCTTGCACCACTAGGGAGGCCCTGATCTATGAAAATTTAAATTGGCTTTATAATTATAAGTAGGTCAACCCAAAAATTGTTACATTCATTCCCATGGTAATAAGGTACGTACCCCAATTATGTCTGAATTATGTAAATTGGAAATATTCGCTGTCAAAATATCTATGGCTGGAGGATAACTTTTGTGAGTATTTTAATTTCTTGGATTCATCATTGCTTTAGAGAACTAATCATAATCAAGAGCAGTGGTAGGTGATCTAGAATCACAGATTAAACCCCTAGTCTTTATCAAAATTCAGAAATATTTCTACTAATCACAGCTATCAAGATTTTGATTTAGGGACAAAATGGTGTTTCTAATCTTGCAATGCTCAGGTAGACTAGATATACCAAGATACCATTCTTTCAGGACATATAAGTCAGTTTTATCGATTCCATCATGATTTGTGCTTCCCCTTCTGTTAAGCGCTGTCATAGGAAACTGCTCAGCCGCACACTTTCCAGCTTCCTTGTACTCAGAGGCCGCATCTGGCCAGTTCTTGCTGCTGGGATGGGTGGTAGGGACGTGCTCCCCTTCCAGGCCTGCCCCCACAGCTGGTCCTCTGTGCCCTTCCCCGTCTCGGCCTGGGGGAATGGAGATGATTATCAGGATGGCCTTGGAAGTATGTGTGATTACATAACCCTCATCAGTCTGGGGACCTCTAAATTGGAGGGAGATCTGCCCCGATGAGCTATTTATCTGGCCAGGACTATTAAAGTGGAAATAAGCTTTTGTCTTGGGGTCATCATGCTTGGATGTGTATTTTATCATACTTAGCTACCTAATGTGTGCTAAGCGTCAGTATTTATTCATTCATCTGATTTGAGTCACTCCAGGTACCACTGTGGCTCAGTAGTCATGCTTTCTAACCCACAGGAACCCTCGCAAATGGCTCGCTCCATTCCATGGTTATAGAGCCAGACAAGGGCAGTGATGTACTTACTATAATGAAGTTTCCATTCAGGGTTGTAAACTGAAACCTGCATTTTCCTGCCACAGTTTTCCACTTTCTAGCTGTTTTCCAGAAAAAGGATCCTTCTCTAGCTTCCCCCTCTCCCGTTTTGTGACATTAGCTACTGGCCGCAGCCCTGCTGACCTGATTTCCTATGCAAAGACAGGAAAACAAGGCTTCATGGCCAGAATAGGAGCTTTCAAATATCTTAATTTTTTTTTTTTCCAAATTAAATCTTTAGCTACAACCTAACATATAAAAATTGTTTGGACTGATGAGGGAATGGTGAAGGTGATACTTTTCCAGATTTGAAGCCATTTCTGAGTTGTGCCACTTGGCAGGGAAGTCAAACGGATCAGTGTCAGGCTGTGTGCATTTGTTGGTATGTCTTCTGCCCTCAAATAGCCTCAGATACTCAGGAATAGATCCCAGAAATTTGTTGGATTTGGGTAGGATCAGAAATTCAAGTTAATCAGCTTAGAATTGGTCAACCCTCTGAGGATAAACCAAGCAGTTTCTGGGACTTAGAATGGCATCACTCAAGGCTATCAGAACCAGAAGTTAGTGAAATTCATTCAGGGCTGAGCATCAGGAACAGGCCTTCAGAACTCATCTCTCTTTCAAGGCAGACCCAAATGCAAACCCTGCCCAGGTGGTCTGATACTATTTTCTTTTTTTCAAAATAGATTTATTTATTTATGCATACAAAAACTGGGGTACTGGCCAGAGGTAGGGGGGTGGTGAGGATTCACCAGAGATGGGATGGGGAACAGATCAAACAGACGGACTGAAATACACTGCTGAGGGGAGCAGCAGGTGAGTCAGGCGAGGTCCGCTGCTCTCTGGCTGGGGATCAAACTCGAGATGCAGTGGCTGCCAATAGCTTCATAGGTTGCGTCTTAACCCCTTGTGCCACCAGGGAGGCCCTGATAATATTTTGATTACTTCTTGTCAGCTGAGATAGTCTGAGTTTTACTACATCTATGAATGGAAACATTCTCATTATGCATCAGGTACAGCCCTACACACAGGGTGGTGAAGGAAGGGAGGCTGAGATTCTTCGCTAGTTAGTACCTGACCCTTGCGTCAGCCCTTGATGGAGATGTGCCAGGGTTTCTGACAGCACATCCAGTCCCTGGCACCTCTTGGACCAAGTGGGGAGATGGGAAGTTGGCGCCCCAAAGTTCCTACCTTCCCAGGGGCCTGGGTGTTAACAAAATAAAACAGTAAAATGTATAATTTGTTGGCAATCACTTCTGGCTTGTTTAAAGGTGTGTGTTTATTTACAAGGTGAGATGATACATAAAAAGAGATGATGCAGTTACAAACATCTGATAACTCCATTTTGATGAAAAAGTATATAAATATATTACAGGAAATTCTATATAGTAAACATTAGAAACTGATACAGTAAACATTTGCTACTTTTTCTCTATGCCAATATTATTGTCATTTAAAGCTTAAATACTGGTTTCAAGTATCCCCTATAAAATAACTACTTTATTTAAAATACTGGAAAAGAACTTCACTATAAACAGAATTGGTGTGTTAAAAATAGACTGGGTGCATTTTGTAACAATGTCCACTATGATCAAATGCTGCCTTAATCACCCCTAAGATCTGCATTGTTCAGTTAGTGCTAAATCTTTTTTAAATAATTATCACAGGTTAAATTAGCTGTAAAAATACAGCACTTCAACATTATTGTTATGGAGAATGCCCCTCTGAGGTAGAGGAGAGTTAAGCATAATGATATTATATGCACTTGCTGCCCTGGGATCTTTATCTTAGATAGAGAACAGGGGCGTCTGTTGGAGGTTAAAGAGAGAAATGGGAAGCTATCCAGAAAGTTTTTCTTTTCATGTCATTTCAGAGGCAGGGGTTGCTCTATTTTGCTCTTCTTCAGCTTGAAGACGTGTCAGGACATAAAGGATGACTTGATAGCAGAAAATATATTGATCCTGTGGCAAAAAAAGAGGGAGAGGGTTTAGAGGCATGTGAATGTGTGTATGAATGTGTGGCTTCACCACTAATGAAGTGATATTTGAGTACTTTTGAAAATATGGAAAAAATGTGCTACAGTGCTGAACATTAGGAGGATTCAGTATTGTTCAGTGTCATAAAAATATAACAAACAGAAACCAGACTGACAAAACGAGGAGGGGAAAAGCCTAGGGGGTGGGGGTGGGGGTGGGGCTGAAAATATCCCAGAGTGTTAGATGAAGTTGCCTCTGATTAATGACAACATAGCTCTGATTTGATGATACAATTCTCTACTCTGGGAATCAATGTGGTGTAGAGAAAGGAGCTGTGGGGCTAGGAATACTAGGACTGACTTCTCAGTTTCAGTGTTTCCCACTGGGTGACTTGGGTAAAACCCTCAACTGCAGAGTGATCCTTTAAAATGGGAGCCAGTCATGTGGCTCCTTCCTGACAATCCACCCTTGGCTCCATTTTATTCAGAGGGAAGCCCAAGCGCTGGCCCTTCCACCTTCCCCCACCCACTTATCTTCCCTCACCCTAGCCACTGACCATGTCGTTCTTGGCATGTAAGGCCTATATCCCCCTTGGTCTTCTATACACAGGTGTTTCTGTCTGCCTGGAGGCTCTTACTCCCCGATATCTACATGACCTGCTGTTACCCCACTGAATCTTTGCAAAAGTGTTGCTTTCTCAGAGGTGCACCTTATCTAAAAGAGCATCCTGACCGCCCCCCCACAGTTCATCTTCTTTACTCTTTTCCTCTTAAAGCACTTATCACCTTCAAAGACAAAGATACAAACGTGCACGCACGCACACACACACACACACACACACCCCTTATCAAATGTGCTCATTGTCTGCCTTCCTTATTACAGCTCACTAGGAGATTTTGTCATTCTACCAGAGTCCTCCATTTTATTCACTCATGTGCTCTATGAACCTAGAAGAGTGCCTGGTTCATAGTAGGCGCTTAATAAATATCTGTTGAAAGAGTGAACTTCCTAGGACTCAAGAACTGTGTACACAGATCAATGTTTTCTTTACTTAAAAAAAAAAAGTGACTGCACATTAGCTTAATGTTTAAGAGATTTAAGTTAGAGGTATATTAAAAAAGAGTACGTGGATTATATATTAAAGATGATGAACATTTGTATTTGTCAAGAGTTAAGAGATGTAATGTATCTATTTATGAATGAAAATAGCTTCTATGTCCTCCCCCCCTAATACAAAAAAGGATGGTGGAGCTACTCAGAGGAGTCAGGTAATGTGAACATGGCCCTGTGAAAGACACAAGCATGTAGGTCAGTGGGTTGATTTCAGGTAAGAGAAATGAAAATGATCTAAACAGGATAAATAAACCCGTACAGTCTAGCCCAAGAGTGCCTCTCTAAGCTGAGCAACTCGTCAGCCTGCTTTCTAGCTGATGTTGCGAAATCCATTTCCTCTGGAGGAGGCTCTTTCTGGAGCAAGAATGTTTTCTCTCTTTTGTAGGTTGAAAAGAGGGGAGGGCTGTTAATAATTCTATGGTAAACTGTAGCCCCCTACATTTTGTTTTCAATATGCCATCCCATTATCTCTAATCTATTCAATGCTGATTGCATTTCCTCATTTTGAATTGAAAGACAATACTAAAAACAGACAGACCAGAAACATATATATTATTTTTCTTATCTCCCATGTTTAAAAATGTCTGTCAGTATCATAAATCTTGGGTTTTATACAATGTAGGAAACCAAAAAGGAGAACTTCTAAAACATCAGAATCTTCACAAAATTTGTTCATTAGACGACACCAAGACTCACCTCTGTCTGAACCATTCCATGTCTTTGTAGTCTCATGCAACGCACTAAAGCAGAGATGTCAAACTGCCAAAAGAAAGTCTCTGTGAGATCAAGTGTGACTAAATTTGAATTCTGAAGATTCACAGAGGAGTGGCTTATACGGAAATATGCATCCCATTTCCCTGCCCCTTCAAGTGGTCTTGAGACCTATACTTAAAAAAGGTTTGTGAACTGACTGTCATCATTTTATACTTTTATTTATGACCGCCTGAGGATTAAGGAAGGTTATTCAATTTTAAAACCCCAGCAGAAATTTTCTTCCCTCTATAATTTGACTGATTTCTAAAAATCAATCCTTAAAGAAGGGACAAATTATTTTTCTCTATTTTGCTTTTCAGAATAAAATTTCTGATCTTTTTATTTTCACCAATATTTGAAACAAGGGAAAACAGACTATTTTGCTTTGTGCTTACATTAATATGGTGGCTTTGGTGGAGTTTGAAGAGCAACAGAGAACTGCTTTTAATTAAGAACTTTTAAGAGGACTTAAATTATATATTATCCAGAGTGACTGATTCTAGCAGCTTAAGTGTGGTATACACTAACAGGTATATTAATAAGATGATATGCTTATTTGGTAACAAATTTTTTTAATTCCAAGTATTTTCTCAGTGGTGCCATCCAATTTAAAATAGCATCAGGTTTGGGATGCTCAGCCTCTTCAACCTACTCTACTTCCTCCCAAATGCCAAACCATTTATCACTTTCAAAAATTCATGTAATTTACTTTTTATAAATGTGTTTATTATCTCCCTTCTTTGTCATTCTATTAGATCTTTGTTATTGAGTAGGAGACTTTGTTTTATTCACTGTTGTGCTCCTAGCAGATTAAATTTAGACAGACTAACATCAGACAGACTACTGTAACAAGACGTACATTTCCCATCTACAGGTAATAATTAACACAAAAAAGAATGTGTATAAGCCACTCCTCTGTGAATCTTCATTTCAGAGAAATACTTTCTTTCCAATCCTAATGTATAACAATACTGACTTTATCTCAAACATGCCTAAATGGTAAAATGCAATACTACACAAGGGGTTCCTGAGCACATGGTTGGGAAAAAAAACAAATATGAATGCGAAGAATTATTTCCTCTTGATTGTGGCCTATACAGTTTTGAACAACAATGCTCACTAAAATACAATTCTGTATAGTAAAAATTAAGAAGGAAATTAAGGAATTCATACTAATTAAAAAAAATTGTAAGACACAACACATTATTAAGAAATTTGATTCCAGTGTTATTTCTTGTAAACTGCTTATTACAGCCTATTTTGTACTCACGTCAAGATCTTGACTGATTAGTCCTAGAACCACATCTATGCATATCAAGGTCCCTGAACGTCCAATGCCCGCACTGCAGTGCGTGATGACTGGGCCTGATGTGTGAATGTGTCTCATGTAGGAGATAAAAGTGAGCAAGTCATCTGGCTGAGAAGGTGTGTCATGGTCTGGCCAGGCAGTGAAATTCAGATGAGAAATATGGCGTATCTCTCCTGTCTGAAATTGTATAACAGAATGAATGCAAAGGCATACTATATTAGTCAGACATAATTAGCTCATAATATTATGTTCTTTCGAATTTTAACTTGTCCATTGGATCAGACCAATGAAAAAGTGGAAGAGACAAAAAGTCTCCATTGAACAACACATGGAGAGTCTTTTTTGCCAAGATTTGTTACATTCACATTTTAAATATTGGTAAAAATTATTTTTTGGAAACCCAAAAGGCAAATTACATTTTGATATGAATGATAATCTTTTTTATGACCACATTTCAACTCTACCCCAGATAAAAGGCCCTTCTCCTCTCACCCTCAATATCCCTGTGTTCATTCAATTCCCACATAATTTTTCCCATAGCACCATCAATAGCAGTATGTGCTTATTCTTAATTTTCTTCTTTTTAGCAGTATATGCTCATTAGAAAGTATGTGCTCAGTATGAACCAGGGATTTCTTTTTGTCTCTGAAGACCTAAGCTACATAAACATGTGCAAAGTAAACAAATCACTTAAGGAATACTGAAAAATTATGTTAGCATAAATAATAGGTAGGCTGGTATAAATCAGTATTTTCATAAAATCACAAATCAAAAATCATGAAGGGACAACTATATACAAAAGAATGAAATTCATTAAACCTTATCTTACACCATGTACAGTATTAACTCAAAATGGATGAAAGATTAGAATTAAGACCTGAAACCATAGAATTCCTTAAAAAAACATAGGAAGAAAGCTCCTTGACACAAGGTCTTGGTGATGATTTTTTACATTTGACACCAAAAGCAAAAGTAACAAAAGCAAAAGTAAATAAGTGGGATTATAGCAAACTAAACACTTCTGTACTACAAAGGAAACCAACAAAATAAAAAGGTAACCTAGGACCAACCTAGGCAGCAACAGAAGAAAATATGTGCAAATTATATATCTGATAAGGGGTTAATATCCAAAATACATTAGGATTTATATAATTCAATGCAAAAATTTAAACAATCTGTTTTTAAAATGGGGAGAATTTAAACAGACACTTTTCCTTCCAAGGAAGATATACGAATGCCATGAGGTACATAAAAAGGTGCTCAACAGGACTAATGATCAGGGAGATGCAAATCAAAACTACAATCAAGAGACATGACCTAACACCTGTTAGAACATTATCAAAAAAAGACAAGAAATAATAAGTGTTGGCAAGGATGTGGAGAAGAGAGAACCCTGTGTACTGCTGGTGGGAATATAAGCTGATGCAGCCACTATGGAAGAGTATGGAGGTTTGTCAAAAAACTAAAAAATAGAACTACCACATTATTCAGCAGTTTCACTTCTGAATATTCATTCAAAGAAAACAAAAATGCTAGCTTGAAAAAAAGGATATGTCAAGTTCATTGCAGTGTTTACAATAACCAAGACCTGAAAGCAACCTAAGTTTCCATCAGTGGATGAAGAAAATGTCTTATGTGTACACCATGGAACAGTATTCAGTTTTATAAAAGAAGGAAATCTTGTCATTTACAACGTGGATGGACCTTGAGGGTACTATGCTGAGTGAAATAAGTCAAAGAAAAACATTCGCTTTTATGTGGATTTTAACAACCCCCCACAAACAAATCAACTGACCAGCCAACCAAATGAAACCAGAGCTCATGGATACATAGACTAGATTGGTGGTTACCAGAGGCAGGGGTTGGAGGTTGGGTGAAATGGGAGAAGGGCGTGAAAAAGTATAAATTCCAGCTATTAATTAAGTCATTGTGATGTAATGTACATGGGGACTATAGTTAATAACAATGTTTCCTATATTTGAAACTTGCTAAGAGAATAAATCTTAAAAGTTTTCATAAAAAATCATGAAGTACATTCACAGGTTATGTTTACGTGACGCCAATAAATTGAGATGATATACTTTGTTCCTAGGAAAGTAAAATGACTCTGTTTCTTTAAGAAAGCTAAAACTCCAACAGGAAACATTACCCAAACCTAGTTACTAATGGGAGGAGGGGGGAAATGTCATAAAGTGAGAGGGTGTGGAGGTGAGGAAACTAGTAGTAGTTTTACTTAAGGTATGTTCACTTATCTAATTCAGGCTAATTAGGTCACTGCATTTGGAATTATTCGAATGACAAATGTATGTGCTAAAATTGTCCCTGTATTCTCAAATGTGGTAAGCTATTTTTATGGGGGAATGCTTTCTACGTAGAGGTTTGAAAACAGTTTTTTTGAATCTACTTAGAGGTTTGAAATAAAAAAAAATGAGTTTTCAGCACTTAGTTGTTGACCCATTTTATGCTGTCACTAAGCAAGGAACTGGATACTCACATTAAAAGTCCGGTGTTCTTGTTTTCTTTTAAATATACTACATACTAGAGGGCATTATTTGGCAGAATTCATGAAGAGTGTCACATTATTAAGCTTATATTATATAAAAAAGAATAGGTTGCATTAGTTCCACTAAAATTGGAACCAAGAAGTCAGTGGCTTTTATTTAGAAATATGTTGATGCAATCAAGGAAAGAATTCAGGCCTAGATCCCAAGTAGGAGATAAGCTTTGGTAAGCAGAAAGATTTAATTAACCTACCTGAATATCTTCCAGGGTCATTGCCCTTACTACAAAGCCCTTCAGCTGCTGCAGTCTCACAAGAGCCAGCCGAAGTCTGTCATTGACCATTGTGGTTTTGCCTAGGATGTTAGGCCAATAACGCTGACATTTGATTTTTTCTCCTTCTACTTCTTGGGTCATCATGGCTATCACTGTTGAATTTTGTTCCCAAATCATCTGCCAGAAATCTCCAACAGTTGTAGGGAGAGGGCCTTGGCAGGCAATGTAAACGAATTCTTCTTTCCCCACTGGTATCTTAATGAAGCTGGCGTTGATATATCCACCTTCATCTCCAAGAGGCACTCTTGTAGCATCATCTGTGAATTTTCCACCACAAAACAAATGTCTACATTGCATTTAAAAAGGAGCTTTATGAACAGAATTAGTCAACGATCATGAGGAATTCCTCATAATAACAGATAAAATGCCAAACACATTTCAAATTAAAGGCACATTTTCATTTTTCACTCATATTACAAGTATATCTAAGATGTCAACTCTGAGTCACTGACAAAAAAATTGATATTTATTATTTACATAGATTTAGTTGAACTTAAAATTATTGTTTTTTTTTTTAAGATTTATTTTTATTTATGCATATAAGAACTGGGGTGTAGGCCAGACTTGTAGGGGGTGAGAGGATTCACCAGAGAGAGTGGAGAGCAGAACAGGAAGATCTACTGAAATACACTGCTGAGGGGAACAGTGGGCAAGACAGGAGAGGTCTGCTGCACTATGTGGGTTAGCTCTCTGGCTGGGGATCAAACTCATGCTGCAGTGCCTAGGGATAGCTCGATAGCACTGAGAATTTAACCCTGAGCCACCACAGAGGCCCTGAATTTAAAATCATTAAATCAATAGATGCCTTTAGTATCTTAATAAATAACTAGAGAAGCAGCAACACTTTTCTATTTGAAGAACAAAATCAGTGTCTTTAGAACAAAACCAGTGTCACAGTACACAAATATCATTGCATATAAAACTCTTGCTCATCTAATTAAATTACATTCTTTTTAATAAGCAGCAAAATAATCACAAACACAATAGACATTCTGTGTCTAGCTGTATTTCATAAAGTCAAAACGTAAGTTTTGTTTTTTTTTTGTGGGACCCTCGCCGGTGGCCAGGGAACTACTGGCGCTGCAGAGGTTGTGGGCAGCCTCGCAGCCCAGTGCTCAACCGCTGCGCCACCAGGGGAGGCCCCCAAAACATAAGTTTTAAACCAGGCTACCATGGTATACATCTTATCCAAGAGAACTTGTATGTACTTACACTTTCAAAGTAACTTGTTTCAAATATCTATAAATTTAACTGGTAACTTCTGTGATTAGCAAATTAAGACTTTAGTAATAGGTTTCAAAATCTATCAATAGTCCTTTTATTACTTGATGTCTATCCCTTAGTCTATGAAACAAAATCCACTCAGTAGTTTTTGATTTATGCCTTATTCTAGTATGGCTTTGGGATATTGGGCTCGTCATTTTTTTTTGGGGGTGCCTGAAGTAATGCTTACCTATATTATGCCAAATTGTGCTTTATTACATTTATTTATTTATTTATTTTTTTGTGGGACCCTCGCCGGCGGCCGGGGAATGAACCGGCACCGCAGAGGCTGCAGGCAGCCTCGCAGCCCAGCGCTCAACCGCTGCGCCACCAGGGGAGGCCCTATTCCTTTTTTAAAACATCATATAAGAATTATTTCTTACAGGAAATTTTCCAAAATGAATGTTGTGCCTTCCATCTTGAATGAAAAAATTCAACTGCAGTATTTTTTTTCCAATTTGTCACTACTTGTTCTATAGTCTTTGCATTTATGACTTCCTGCAAAGGCAGCATCAATGCTATAATCCAATGGACTGATACCATATAAATGTGGCTGACGATTACCAATGCAGCCAGTGCATGTGTAGCTATTTGGTGCCACAGGTATGATGATAAACTTTTAATGAGTGGAATAAATAGATGTTGGTTTTGACACATGAACCTGAGAAATTGCTTATCCAAGAGCCACAGTTTTAAAAAGACAATAAAATAACTAATTTGGCATCACTGATTAATTTCTAGTGGTATACTAGTAAAAATTCATGAATGAAGAAATATTTAAGGTTTTTCTGATTTTTCAGGATACATAATTTAAAAAGGAATACATATTATATAAGTGAATACATATTATATAAGTGAATTTATTTGCTATAAATTTATGTGATATAAACCTCAGTGTGTGTGTACACGGATGTGTGGGTGGTGTGTATGTACATGCTTATGTGAGAGGTAGGATAAACTAAAGTTTGAAATCAGTTCAAATTATTAAATATACATTTGATTTGATGCCACATTGAAACTTACAGGGAAGTATATTTTTATATCGGTTCTTCTTTCTGTTTTCCTTAGTTTGCCCGATTAGACACTGATCTAAAGGTTTTAATTCTTGAAGAGTCTGTAAGAAAAGATTGGGAATAAAGTTAAATTTGTTGAGATAAGCAATAATTCACTAATAATTGCAAATGCTTTAAATATGCAGAGTACAAAATACATTATTGATGAGGGCAGACTTTTAGTGTTAAGAAGTAGATATACCTTGTCAAGATAAATAAGTCTGTAACCTCAAAATTCATTTGATAAACAGCTGTTGAAATATAGTTGCAAATATTTTCAACTTAAAAAGTTATCATCAACAAACTTTGAGAGGAAGTATTTGTACTTTAATAATTCAGGTTTAAATGTCTGACTATACACACACACACACACACACGGACATACTTATATTTTTTAGAAAACAGTAGAACTCAAAAACAATTTTGGTTTAAGTAATGAGGTAGAGCAGAATTTCTTGACAATATTGTCTGTGGGGTCACAGAAAATTCCATGTAGTAGAATTGTCCTGTTCTAATGTTAACTTGTTCTCACTTTTTATCCATAGATCCAGACACTCAACAACTACATATTGAATGCCTACTACTTGCAAGGCTGGGAATACAGTGGGGAGCAAGAAGATATGATTCTGGATCTTCTGGAGCTGACAACCTACTGGGAGATAGCGGCAATAAAGAAATAAATAAACATTATGACATATGCGCTGAAGAAATGAGCAACCTACTGTGTTAAAAGTAAAGATCTGCTTTATAAATGGTTGTGATAAAAGGTCTTTGGGATGTTGATATTTATATTTAAGGTGTTAAATAAAAAATCATTTCAACAAAATAGAGATGGGGAGAGGAAAAGTGTATCTTAAGTATTGTAAGCTTATTTCCAAAATCTACTAATGGAATTGCACACACACACACACACACATACACACACACTCTTGAGGATTAAATACAAAGCATCTAGCACATTACAGAAGATCTCAGAAGAAATGAGCTCTTTTGACTTTAGTGGCTACAGAAAGCTCAAGAAAGTGGTTGGAGGGAGAGGGACAAGGTAAACCCTTAAACCACAGACGTGTTACATATCTCTTTTACTTAGTGGTAAATATGGAGGGTGTCAGCAAGACCAGAGGAGCAGGGGTTCTGAACCATTCCTACTTTGAACTGGGGGACACATTCATGGAACTAAATTAAATTAGAAACTATAGTTAATGATAAGCCATATCTACATTATATTAAATATAATATTTGGTAGATGGTTAGAATTGAAGCATGACTTTTTTTTTAAAAAACTCTTTATCCCTACAGAAGAGACAGGAAGATAATTTTCGGGAAATTCATCAAGATCCAAAGTGGCTAAAGAGATCATTTTAAATCAATACTATTAGGGTTCTAACTAGAAAAATTAATTTACTATTAGATGTGATATGATGGTACCTTTATAGTTGGAAGTCAACTACAGGTAGAGCTGTAAAGTAACAGACATTTCCAAAATTTTTCTTACTCCATAAAACTTTGAGAAAGAACTGCATGTTGAAGCCACTTACTTCCAGTTCCTTAGAAGGAATTCCTTGATCCAGTAAACCCCTCAACATTCGAATGACTGATTTCAAATTGGTTCCAGTGTATTTACCCGAGGGTAGCACTTTGACGATGGGGAGTGCAGCAAGTTCCTCAACTGTCAGAAAGGGATGATCTAATAAAAAAACAACAGTTAATTAAAAAAAGTCCCCACAGAACTGCTTAAGTCAACAAGTGATTAATTTGAGCCTATTCTCACTCATTTACTTTAACAAAATGAGTATTAATGAGCTAATAGAATTAATATGTAGCTAACTACGATGAACATAGATCTTAGCCATAGCAAGACCTTTGTACCCACTTTTTAAATGAATTATTTTATATAATTCTTACATCATTTTTCATTTTTGCATAATGTATGCACTTTCATTTTGGTTATATTCCCCCTACAATTCCCACCCCCTTTTTCTGACCCTAATCCCTCTTCTCCTCCTTTGCTCCCCACTGTAGTGTATCTCTGGTCTATAGTTGCTTGTTGGTTTTTGGTATATATACACAATGGAATATCACTCAGCAATCAAAAAAGATAAACTCATGCAATTTGCAGCAACATGTATGGAGTTGGAAGGGATCATGCTCAGCGAAATAAAAAGAAAAAGAAAAGAAAGCCAGAGAGAAAAAGAAAAATACCAGATGGTCTCACTCACAGCAGGAATTTAGAAAACCTAAATAAGGGACCAGGAAAAAGACTAATTGTAATAATGTACCCACTTTTAACACTCCACTAACTGACCAGAGTTTCTTTTTGCCTCTCTTTACTCAAATGTCACTGTGTTCTCCAGGAAAATGTAACTAGTCTTGTTACTACTCTGCACTTGAATTAGCTTGCCAACATATCAGGAAAAGGTTAAGAGAGATGCTTCAGAAAGAAATTCAGACAGACTTATTCTTGCTCTAAAAAATTAGTTGGAATTCAAGGGTAATAATAAATCCCTATCTTTGAGCTATTCTAAAATATTTTAGTATATGTAAAATAGTACATATTTATACTTTTACTTTTCATTCCAGAATGGCAAAATTGTGACTTTTTAAAAGAAAATGTATAGATTTATCAGTATGTTTTATTCCAAGTCACTGAGCATTTTAGCTTCCCACTATAAATAGCTAATTATAGAAATGAATGTTGGTATTTATTGACATGATTTGAGTTTACGTATAAAACCAAGTAATATACACATATGGCGAAGTAACATCTGTATACTGTTTTTCTATTGTTTTTGATTAAAAAACTTAAGAAAATTCTTACCTTTGTCAGAATTTTCATGGTTTATTGTCTCTATGGGCAATTCATCACTTTCCCAAGTTATTTCATCGTCATCAGTCTTCCTTTCTTGGGACTTCTGAATTGAGCTATGAACAACAGAACATATTTGCAATATTTTCTTCAGTTTGTCTCCCAAATAAATTGAAATATGGCTCTAAACCACCATTTTCCCCTGTAATTATTATAATATTTTAAAATCAATGATCTGAATTTAAGAAAATAAAAGAAAACCAGAATCCTTAAAATTTATTGGTAGATAAAGTCAACTGATAAGTAAACTGAGATGCGGAATTTATTAATATAGCTTCAAATTTATTCTCAAGCAATCTTGAACCTTGGTCTGAATGAATCCTTTGGGGCAGGAGAAGGTGGTGGTTTGATTTCCACTCATCAACATAGATGACTGATTTCAATTGTGTCAGGATATATCTCTATTGCTTTGAATGAGGATACACCTGTTTCTGGAAACTCAATGTAATGAAACTCAGTACACATCTAATGTTTTTGGAGAATAGTGTTTAGGGCTAAAATGAGATGAAAAAAGGGTAATATAAAAACCTGAATATATTTTTCACTTTCCATTATACAGGGGAATAAAGCAAACAGTACTTGTTTAGTGAAATTAGGATATACAATTAAAGTAAGACATGTACTAATGCTCCCATAATATTAATAAGAGGGCAGCAATTATGCTGCTGTTATGGTAGATGTTTTCTTTTGCTCCAACTAATTATGAGTCACAATTAACATCTAATTTGTAAGCTCTACATCTGTAAGGTTATTTTCGTCTTCTAGCAAGTAAACTTTGTCGGTAAGGATGTATTTTGGAGATCCTTCCAAATTAGGCAGTTGCTTCTCATTCTTTTGAACACCTGCTTAGTATTTCATTGTATGAGCACACCCTAATTTTTTTTGTGCCTGTTATGGTTTTTTACTACTATAAACAATGCTGTAATGAATGCTTCTGTAGAAATGTCTCTGTACAAACACAGTAGTGGGACCAATTCCTAAATATAAATTTCTAGGTCAAAGGATTTATACCACAGTTCTTTGAATGGATAGAATACAACTTCCCTATAAGATACAGTTATCATTTTATTTAAGAAAGAAATAATATTGATTATTGTAGTTACAAGACCGTATATTTCAAAGATGTCAAAATAAAGTGTATTGGAGAATTTTAACATACATATAAATTTATATGTTAATGTTTCCAATTGCCACCCAAAGATTATACTAATTTACCTTTTTCCTTTTTTCTCTTCCCATGTCCAACAGGAAAGAGCTTGTATCTTTACAACTGCCATTGGCAGTTTGCCTGGATATTTGTAAATGTTAGGTATTTCAGGTATAAAACTCTATACACATCTACATTAATCATAAGTATCCCCTTGTCTAACTTAGTGAAAAATTTACTATGAATTTGTTTTTCTAGGAAAATGCAAACAGCACCCTTCATTGGTTATACAATCACTTTGTTGATCAACAATACATGACTTTTTCTAACATCACGCAGTGTTAAAAAAAATCTTTTGTCAGAAACTTTAAAAAAAAATTCATGGGGTTTAAAATGTTTCTAGGGCCTCCCCAGTGGTGCAGCGGGTTGAGCGTCATGCTGTGAAGCTGTCCACAGACTCTGCCACACAGTGCGGGTTTGATTCCTGGTTTGATTCCAGGCCAGAAGTACCACATGGCGCAGCAGACCTCTCCTGTCTCGCCTGCTGCTCCGCTCAGCAGTGTCTTCAGTCTGTCTGCCTGTTCTGCTCCCCGTTCTGTCTCTGGTGAATTCTCTCACCCTCCTGAGCCTCTGACCTGTACCCTAGTTCTTGTATAAATAAGTAAAATCTTAAAAAAAAAGTATCCTGTCTTCTTTGGTTTTATTGTGCTGTCAAAAAAGACAATTTTTATACAAAAATACAGAAACATAAAAATAAGTTACTATAATCCTGCCAAAAGATAATTCACACCATCATTGTTGACACATTTCCCTCAGATCACTCATTTTTCTCCCCATGGTCAAGAGAATACTGCTTTTTTTGGGCATTGTTACAACACTATGTCACAAATCATTAGAAACCTCTTGCAACAATATTTTAAGAATATTCTTGATAGCCCACAACTTACTCAACAATTGTCATTTGATTGAAAAAGAACAAATCTTAAAATCAACACCTAAAGGGAAATTCTCAGAGCACTTCTAAAAACAATGGGTTTGTAACATTTCTTACCTTTCACTTTTTACTTTTTCTTCATTATATTCTTCACAGTCATTCATTTTTGTAGACTATAACAAAGAGAAATAAAAGTCAAATTAGGCCATTATAAAAAAATTAATCTTAACAATTTTTTTCTACTACTTGCTATATTGACTGCAGTTGGTTATCCTTATATTTCAAAAACAGAATAAGACATTCATTTAGTACATGTGCTAAACTGGCTGATACATCTTCAGTGGCCCAAGAGTTTTTGCTGGTACCGTTCATTCACCTTCATACTCTTTTTGGCTTTTCATTTCTTATCTAAGAGATGTTAATGGCATTGAGATAAGAAAAAAGCAAGATGAGAATCTGAAGTAATGATTATTTAGATATGCATATTTGGCATATGTTTTTACACTACTTCAATTTTAAAATCTGAAAGTGTGTTATCCAGAAAAATTTTATCCAATGTGTTAAATTATCTTGTCCTTTTATTATTTAAGTGAGGGGGTCTCTCTCCATAGTAAATGCAGATCAGTCTTCTAATCCTTTAATTGAATACTGTGTTTCAGAAATCCAAACACAGCAGGAATAGTTTACTACAATTAGAAGGAAATACCAAGCTGCACTCTTACAAGGTCAATAAATCTTGCATTTCAGTCTTTCTCAGATTATCTAAATAAATGGGAAATTCCTTTCATTTCAAGGACTGAGTTATATGGCCTCTCTTGCTTTATAATCCGTCTGGTTTTATTCTCCCCTTCACTTATGAAGCTTTAAAATCCATAGATCTTTCAGTTCCTTAGAATTTTTTTATCTCTTATCACAACAAAGCTCTTCCTATGGAAGTTATTTCTTTTTTTTTTTTTTTTAATTCAAAGTAAATACCTTTTCCTTCTAGGGATGGTCCTTAACCACTCAACCTAAAGTAGGTCTCCTTGGTTATTCTCTTTTATACCACTAAAAAAAATTCCTAGGTCTTATCACAACATGTAATAACATGTTTATCTGCTCGTTCTCTTTTTCTTCTATTCATGAAAGACAGTTTCATGTCTGCTCACTTGCGTGCCCACACATGTCTGAGCCATGGAAGGAAGTCTCATTTATTAAAATGAAAGAACTTTTAACATAGTCTTTTAGGTATAGCCTTTGTAGAGTTAAAAATACTGTACAAAATTAGTTACTTTGGTATCAGTTTCAATTTATTAGATGTAAATGCAGAATTTCTAAGCTGGAAAAAAAGGTTGTTTCTTATCCTTTAATAACTAAATGGAAGTTTCTTAGACCTTATCTGTTTTAGAAGTTAATTTTTGCTTGGGTTAAAATCTTTTTCCAAGTAATGTCATTTAGATTTCTTATTCACGTTTTTAATCTTGGTTTATGAATCTATTACATGTGCAATGATTTTGAAAAGTATAAAGCCTTTTATAAGATTCAAGTGTTATTACTACCGTTAAAATGATGAGATAAAGTCCAGTTGAAAATTAACTACAATGTCACTTGTATTAACCAAATTCCCACTATTTTTGAAAGTTCATCTGTATAAGGTGGGGAGGGGCTTGGTTAAGGAGACAGGCATTCAGTCTCTCATCTTATGTTGGTTCTTTGGAAGAGGAGACAGCTGTGAATGGAAAGAGTCAAAGAAAAGATTCAGGAATTTCAACCATTTGAAGGTTAGCTTACAATCTTGTCCTCCAACAAATCCAAAACTTAAATAGTACAGGAAATACCTCTCTGCATCTAGGACCAGCTACACAATTTGTGGTATTTGGTACCTAATAGACCCTGTGACTGCACTTGTTGAATGTCCATAAAACTAGCCTTACCTGGATCCTACAGCTAAGTATGGTTATCTTATAGGTGATAAAAAAAAAAAAAACATGGAATATTTTCTATTGTTTTTTGATTAAAAGTAAAAAAAGTTTTTTTTTTTTTTTTTAAAGAATAACTGGAACTAAAAATAACTGGGAAGCACAGTAATGAATTTCAGCACAATGATGCCATGTCCTTGGAGGACATACCTTTCTGCTTTTCATCCTAGCTCTTTAAGTATCATGGGGAAGTGTTTCTAGCTCTTCTAAGAAAGTCATCTTTCCAGATATGTGAAAAGACCAAATTCCTTGGCAAGGCATAAAAATCACTTCATGAACTAACCCCTGTTCATCTCTTGACAGCCATAGATCTTCCAGACACCAGATACTCTAAGTTGCAATGATTTAGTGCTCTGAATGTCTGAACAGCCTTTCCAATAATTTATTATTTCAAACTTTTTCTTCAACAGTTCAATGTCCTAGAGGCTCCAAAATAATTTGAGAAGTTTATCATTATAATTCTGAAAATTTATTACTTCTTTTTGGATTTGAAGTAACTAGTAAAGATTCTTTTACTGGGATAGGATGACTCTTTAATGTAACAAATGAAATCAACCTGTTTTCCACCTAAATTTAATTTTGCAATAAAACAGGCAATATTTTCAGATGATCATAATATAATTCTAATGAAATAGTGTTTCCTCTAGGATAAACTCACATCTGTAAAATCTTGAGGTATAGGTGAACCATCACAGTCTGTTTCCTCTGCTCTCTCTTCAGATAACTTCCCATTGGTTTTCAGTGCACCTGGGAGAGAAATATATAGGTCAAGAACAATTAAAGAAATTGCTGACACAGCAGAAAATTTTTCTTCATGTACTAAAATGGACACATTTACACAGTAAATGGACTATTCTATGAATAGTTTCAATGTTCTAACTAAATGTTCGAAATAAATGACATGATCTAAGTCAGCATCAAACTTCTGGTTAAACTACCAAATTTGCAATGCCACTTACAACTCTGAACAGATAAACAGAGAATAAATAAATAACAACAATTATAAATGACAAAATAGAACACATGGGCCAAACAGACATTTATAGAACATTACACACTAAAACAGCAGAATTTCCTTTTTTTTTTATTCAAGTGGACACAGAACATTCACAATGATAGATCACATGTTGGACCACAAGTGTCAATAAACTTATGAAGGTTGAATTTATACCAAGTGCCTTTTTAATCATAACACAATAAAACTAGAAATCAAGCACAAAAACAAAACTGGAAAAACTTTAAACATGTGCAGGTTAAACAACATGCTTCTCAATAATCACTGAAGAAATTAAAATAATAACCGGAGGAAAAAAATAAAGAAACAAATTATCAAAACCTATGAGATGCAGCGAAGTGGTACTAGGAGGAGAGTTAATTGCAATATAAGAAATCCAGATTGGAAATGGAGATGTGAAATTACAATTATTTGCAGATGATATAAACCCTAAAGATTCCACCCAATGATTAGAAAAATAAATGAGTACAGTAAAGTGGTAGACTACAATATACAAAATCTATATGTAAATAATGAACTAGAAGAAAAAGAAATTAAGAGAACAATTACATTAACAAGTGCATTAAAATGAAATAACTGGAATAAATTTAACAGAGAAAGTGAAAGGATGTTCATGGGTAGGGAAATTAATATAGTCAAAATGATCATTCTACTAAAAGGCAATAGACAGATCCACTGAAATCCATAACAATATTCTAATGACATTTTCAGGGAAATTGAAAAATAATTTAAACATTTATATGGAAACACAAAAGACCCTGTATAGTTAAAGCAATTTTGAGAAAAAGGAAGAAATACGGAGGCATCATGTTACCTGATTTTAAACAATAATTAGAACAATATGGTATTGCACAAAAATAGACACATGGATCAGTGGAATAGAATCAAGAGCCCAGAAATAGATTCACATATGTTGATACCTAATTTATGACAGAGGAGCCACAACCATACAAAGTCAAAAGGAAAATCTTGTATGTGGGCAGCCACATGCAAAAGAATGAAAGTTGATCACTCTAACTACATATGCACACACACAAATCCAAAATGGACTGAAGACTTGATGTAAGACATAAAACCATCACTACATAGGAAAAGATAGATTATACATCCCATGATATCAATGTCAGAGATATCTTCAGGGGCTTGACTCTTATGGCAAGAGAAATAAAAGCAAAAATGAGCAATTGGGACGCATCTTATCAGAAAGTTCTTGCAGAGAAAGGAAATATGATAGATTTAAAAACCAATTTACAGAACAAAAGAAGATATATGCACATCACACATCCTTCAAGGGGTTAATATCCAAGGTATATAAAGAACTCATCCAATTTAACAACAACAACAACAAATAAAATGACACAATTCAAAAATGAGCAGATCAGTTTAGATCCTTTTTCAAAGAGGAAGTAGCCAACAGACATGTGGAAGAAGTACATCACTACTTTTTATTCAGGAAATACAAGTCAAAACCACAATATCATTTCAAACCTGTGAGAATGGTTTACATAGAATGGATAGCTAACAACAAGTGTTGGCAGAGATACAGAGAAAGAAGAAACTTTATACACTTTTGGTGAGAATGTAATTGGTGCAGTCATTGAAAATGGAAATGACCTTCCTCGAAAAATTAAAAATAGAACTACCATTTGATCCAATCCCACTTGTGGGCATCTATTTAAAAAACATAAAATCATCAATTCAAAGAGTTATAAACACCACAATGTTTACTGCAGTATTATTTACAATAGCTAAAATACAGAAGCAACCTAAGTGCCCATAGATGATTTAATAAAAAAGATACAGTATATTTGCACAATGGAATACTATTTAGGTATAAGATAAAATTCTGCCATTTGTGACAAAATGAAAAGAACTTGAGGGGATTATGCAAAGTGAAATTAGAAAGATAAAGACAAATATTGATTGATTTCACCTATATGAACAATGTAAGAAAAAAACAGTGGATGGGGCCTCCCCTGGTGGCACAGCAGTTGAGCGCTGGGCTGTGAAGCTGCCTGCAGCCTCTGCAGTGCCGGTTCGATCCCCGGTGGCCAGCGAGGTTCCCACATGTCGCGCAGACCTCTCCTGCCATGCCCTCTGCTCCCCTCAGCAGTGTATTTCGTCAGTCTGCCTGTTCTGTTCCCTGCTTTGGTGAATTCTCTCACCCTCCCATGCTTCTGACTGTACCCAGTGCTTGTATTAATAAATAAATCTTTAAAAAAAAGAAAAAAACAGTGGATGAAGGGACAAAATAAAAACAAACTAGTGACACTGATAAACTATGGTTACTAGAGAGTAGGGGGTAGGAGCAAAGGTGGAAGGGCTATAATGGATGGTGGTGAGTGTTTTGCTTTATTTTTTTGTATTTTACATAAAAAATTTGCAATGCCTCAAGAATGCCTTAGTATCAAGTGGAGGGGGAGGTTTAGGCAAAGACTTCTAAAAGTAATAGTCATGATATTAGTTGTAATAAATTTTGAGATCTTACTAATAATAAGGTGACTCACCCACATATATGTTGTGGAAAAGAAAAGAATAAATTTTGTTTTATTTCTGAAATATTATCCACCAGTACAGAATTTAGGGGAAAACGCCAGTGTATTTCATATTTACTCAAAAAATTCTCGCTAGAGGTTTTCTTACACTTCTTCATATACTGACTTATTCATTTTAGTTTGTCTACCTGGATCATAGGCATCTCCTGCTGCATTATTTTGGTTTAGAAGATTCTGGGCTTCTTCATCTACAACATCCAGAAGAGACTGGATAACTTCAGCTTCTTGAGGATCATCATAAATGTCATCTTCTTGTACATTAGAGTCTTGAAAAACAGTAATTTACATATGTTTTACTTAAAAAAGACATTGATATGAAAGAGACACTGAGTCAAGTAGAAAATGTTGGGTCTTTCATATTTTAAACATCCATTTTAAAAAGCTGCAGAGACTGGTAATGTAATTTATACTAAGGGGACCTACTCATTTTTAGAACTAATCTGGCTGCTATGATAAAAAAAATCACACAAATGAAGCTTATGAAGAATGAGCTAAAAAAAAGTTTTGACATGTTTTCATGAGACATTAATAATTTAATGTCTAATTTTCTAAATTAACCTCAAATTATTAACTCATGAATGAGATACAAAGTAGCCATGTTATAATAACAATGGACTAGGTCAACCCAAACAGTCTTATTTCCTATTTTATTAGGTAGCCTATGAATTGTTGCTTCATAGAATACAAGAAACAAACACTATGAAATGCAACAATTAGCTTTTCAATCATTTAAAAACATCTACACCTTAGAGATGAGAATGAACACTGGACATTTGTACAGTAATACAGAAAATTAATTTTATATTTTTTGAAATTCCTTTGAATAACAATCTTTCCTTTTAAAGTCACAGGAACACATAAGGTAAATAATAGGACACCTAATATTCCTTTATTACCTGAATTATTAGGGCATTTAGAGTGAGTGGATGAATGGTTTGGAAAACTACCTTTGGACAGAATCAAGTCTTCTGATTCCTTCATCTGATAAGTAGAGCATTTTCCTTCAGGGTCTAAAACTTCAATTATTTCTTCCCCATTAACCTAAGGTATAAAATCAAAGCAAATTATTATTTCACTAATTTTCAGATTAGGGGGTGATGCACATTGCCCCTCCATGTTCTTCTCCCCTTCTTTCTTACTACATTTCCATTTTCCCACCTTATACCAGAATTTCTAGAAAACACCAGTGCAATGAAATGTCCTGGGAGATGGGACTTTCTATTATCAAATATGTCTGGAACACTAGATTAAACAACATTAAATTACTATTTTTATTCCAGGAATTCTCACAATATTTACTAACAAATTTTGAATAGCGCAAAGAGAAATCTATGATATAGTATTTCCTAGACTTATTTGACTACAGAAATGTCTTCTTGTAAGGCATATTTATTTGTCTTCTATAGGGATTTTTAGAAAAGTTTAATAGGACTACTAATCTTAAAGATGAGGAAGGAGAAAAAAAATCTATTTAGTAGTTGTGAAGCTATTTTATGGATGTGGACTCCAGTTTAGTGACCTGATCAACTTTTAGGAATAAAGATTTTCCAATCTAGACTAACTCTCTCAAATTAAGAAAAATAACAATGGATTCACTATTGAATAGAATGTAATCTTCTAATCCAATAGTAAACTGTGAAGCACTTTATGGTGTATAGATCATTGAAAGTGCAGTGATTTGGACAAAGATGGAAAATCAGATAGAATAAATTAAAATAATTTATACAAGTATTAGGTAGTTTGCTATGAAAATTTTACTTTTTTTATTAAGATAAAAAGTAGAAAAGGTAGATGCAATAGAATTATTTCTTTCTATCTAGCAGTGATATAACATCAAAAAGTTTCACTATTTGTGAAATTCCAATCTTTATGAGAAATTCATAGTACAAAGTAGTATTTAAGGGATATTGAATATAGTCTGGGAGACTTCCTGGATGATTTTCAACTCCAACATAATAATGTTTGCAACTGTGAATAACAAAATACCTAGTTTCTAGGGTTTTATGTTAACTTAAGCAGAAACTCTACCCTTCTTTTCAACAATATGGTGATTTTAATTAGAAAAGCACTACGCAGCAGGACTAATGCTAAAAATACATGAAAATTTAGTTGCTTTAGTTATGTGAAATTGAAGATATTCTGAATAAAGAAAATATTGAATGCTGGTATATTTCAGTCCACAAATATTAAAACATTTTTATTTTTATGTCATTTGTGCCTTACAATTTTTCCAATGCAGTATCTTTTCAGAACTTGCTAACCACAAATAAAAAGTTAGAGATAACAAAGTGAGACGAATTTTGGGTTTCTGGTACTAAATGATTTATTTTTTCCTATACTAGCTAAATCTAGTTTATGGACAGTAATCTAATTGAGATGATATGACTTTTGATCATTAAAAGAGCAATGTCTCCACCCTAGATTTTACATGGAAAGACATTCATAAAGTGAGGTACAGAACAGATTGCATGAAATGGACGTGGGAGAAAACAATTCCACAAGATGGTCTAGTTGTGATCAATTTAGAATGTATATAACATATCAGAAGATAATCATAAAAAGTAATATTAACCAAATAGTCATATATGTAACCTTAAAGAGAGTGCTTAAAGTAGAATTTAGTTACATATTAAAATAGCTTTGTTAAATCACTCCCATATTTCGCTGCACTAAAATGATTTAGCTTTCTCCTTCTATTATGTGATAAATCATTTCTTATATCTTTCAAAAGCGAGTCTACTTCTTTTGCCCATCCTCCTTTTCCTCACCAGTAGGAGAGATTTGACTTTTAAGGCTCACTGCTAGTCAAATTAACCCAAGGAAAAATTCTACTCTTAATTCTACTCTTGGTTTCCTAACAGACAACCAAAAAACTCACATTATTAAAGTAATCTCAGCTCTAAAGCTATCTATTTAGGTACTTGGCTTGTGTAAAGGGGTGAGTATATACCTAATGAAATGGGTTTACTTGTGTGGGGCTTTATGTGTGTGCCTCACTTAGCAAGGCCTAATAGTACATTAAAATATATTCCTACTATTAATATATACATCTAACAAAAACAAATATTTAAATATGAAATCAGCTTGGTTCAAAGCACAAATAAGTTAGTTATTTAGTTGAGGGAATATGACATAAAAGAAGGCAGCCTTTTACTTACCTTGGAGAATGAATTATTTGGAGTGAGGGCAGGCTTTCCACAAAGTTCTACGATGTGATGACCTAAAAGGAACAACACAAAATAACAGATAAGCAAGTCATAAAGAAAACCTACATTTCTGAACATGCTTTTATTTTTATTAGTACAGTACAGAGGTTCTAGCACAAACTGACTTAAAACCAACTAGATGGAGTAAAATTCAGAGGGTTTGCCCCGGTTTTTAAAAAAAGCCATTTGCTTAAAGGAAAATGTTTACTTTGAATGATTCTTATGTGAGGTACTGAATATAAATTTCCCTAATGGAATTGGACACATCACATGCATTGAGCTATAGTCAGTCACTTCACCGTTTAAAGGAAGTAGCAAGCTTTTAACCTCATTTCATAAGGCCATCACTTTAACACATGAAAATACATTAAAGGCACAACTGGAAAAGTCTTTTGCTAAACCACTGCTAAAACAAATAAATGTTAATTTTTTTTCATGGTTTATTGCTCATTTTTCTGTAACTTGTTTTTTAAATCAAGGTAAAAGTGTAGATAATTTAGGGGTATCGGTTTACACCTCTTCAGAAGTATGTTACTGAAAAACACCTACCAACAAAGCACCAATAATCTTTCACCATTGATCAATGGGCCATCTTCCCTACCTCCCTATTCTCCTATTCTCTAATGGTCTCTAATGAGACCATTAGAGGTCTCTAATGGCTAATTATGCAGTCATATTTGTAGGGTTTCTTTGTTTTAATTGTCTGTTCCTTTGTTTTGTGTCTCTATATCCCACGTGAGTGAAATCAGCTGGAATTTGTCTTCCTCCTCCTCACTGATTTCACTTAGCATCATTCCTTCCAGTTCCATCCACATTGTTACAAACAGAATGATCTCATCTCTTTTCATAGCTGAGTAGTATTCTGTTGTGTATATATACCACACCTTCTTCATGTTCTTATCTATTATTGGACACTTACATTGTTTCCAAAACTTGGATATTGTAAATAGTGCTGCAATGAACACTGGCATGCATATAGCCCTTCATATTAGCATTCTTGCATTCTTTGGATAAGTACCAGCAGTGGAATTTCTGGATCATATAATAGATCCATTTTTAACATTTTGAAGAACCTCCATATTGTATTCCACAGGGGCTGGATCAGTCTACACTCCCACCAGCAGTGTAAAAAGGGTTCTTTTTCTTCAAATCTTATACACACTTGCTGTTTCTGTTTTTTTTTTTTTTTTTGGTATGGATCATTCTCACAGATGTGAGATGGTATCTCCTTGTGGTTTTGATTTGCATTTCCCTGATAAGCAATGATGAGCATTTTTTCATATGCCTGTTGACCATCTGTATGTCTTCTTTAGACAATTGTTTAGCTCTCTGTGAACTTTTTGATTATTTGTTTTCTTGTTGTTGAGTTGTCTGAGTTCACTGTAGATCCTGGATATTAGCTGCCTGTCAGATGTATGACATACAAATATTTTTTCCGCTTCAGTAGGATGTCTTTTCATTTTAATGATAGCTTCTTTCATTGTACAGAAACTTTTTAGTTTGGTGTAGTTCCATTTGTTAATTTTTGTTTTTGTGTCCCTTATCTTTGGAGTCAGTTTCAAAAGACATTCCTGAAGCTGATGTCATGGGTTGTTTAGCCTATATTTTCTTCTATATGTTTAATGTTTCCATTTTCTTCATCATCTTTAATCTGAGTTAATTTTTTGTATGCTGTAGAGAACATCATTTTTTTCTTTCTTTTTTAAGATTTATTTATTTATTTATACAAGCACTGGGTACAGTCAGAGACGTGGGAGGGTGAGAGAATTCACCAGAGCCAGAGCAGAGAGTAGAACAGGCAGAGTGACAAAGTGCACTGCTGAGGGGAGCAGTGGGCAGCAGGAGAGGTCTGCATGCATGTGGGATGCTTGCTCAGTGGCAAGGGATCGAACCGGCGCTGCAGAGGCTGTGGGCAGCTCTGCAACCCACTGCGCTGAGGAGGCCCCATTTTTTCTTTTGCATGTGACTGTCCAATTTTTCTAAAACCATTTGTTGAAGAGATTTTCCTTCTCCATTGCATGTGCATAGTTCTTTTGTCATAGATTAACAGACCATGTAAATACAGGTTTATATCTGTGCTCTCAATTCTATCCCATTGGTCTCTGTGTCTATTTTTATTCCCATACCATACTTCTTTGATTATTATAGCTTTGTATAGTATGAAGTCTGGGAATGTGTTATCTCACACCCTCCTCCCCCCATTTTTTTGGTTAAGATTGCTTTGGCTATTGGGGGGGGTCTTCTGTGATTCCATTACATTTTAGTAATGCTTGCTCTATTTCTTTGAAGAGTTACATTGAAACTTACAGGGATTACAATGAATCTATATACTGCTTTGGGTAAGATGGCCATTTTAACAATGTTAATTTTTCTAATCCATTAGCAAGTAAGATCTTTCCATATATCTGTATCTCTTATTTCTTTTAACAATGTCATAATTTTCATTCAGTCTTTCACATCCTTTGTTAGGTATACTTCTAGGTATTTCTTTTTGAAGCTATTATAAATGGGATTATTTTCTTGATTTCTTTCTCTTCTTTTTTTTAAGATTTATTTTTATTTATATATGCTTATAAGAACTGGGGTGCGGGCCAGAGGTGTGGGGGTGAAGGATTCACCAGAGACAGTGTGGAGAGCAGAGCAGGCGGATGTACTGAAATCCACTGCTGAGGGGAACAGCTGGTGAGACAGGAGAGGTCTTCTGTACCATGTGGCGTTAGCTCCCTGGCTGGGGATCTAAATCATGTTGCAATGGCTGGTGGTAGCTTGATAATGCTGAGACTTTAACCCTTGCACCACCAGGAAGGTTCCTCTTTCTCTTCTAGTTCAATATTTGAATACAGGAACGCAACAGATTTTTGTGTATTAGTTTTCTTGCCTGCCACTTTGTTGTTCTGGTTCATTGTTTCTAATAGTTTTTAGTGGCATCTTTAGGGTTTTCTATATATGCTATCATGTCATCAAATAGGGATTCCAAATTAGATTCCTTTTCTTTCTTTCTCTTTCTCTTAGCTTCCTCTAGCTAGGACTTCCAATAGTAAGTTAACTAATAGTGGAGGAAAATATACCTTTGCATGTACCTGCTCTTAGAGGAAAAACTTTGTTTTCCATCGAGCATGATGTCAAACTGCTGTGGAGTGGTCATATGAACTTTATTATGTTGAGTTATAATCCTTCCTCTATCTCTTACTAAGAGCTACTGTTACGTTTTTTTTTTTTTTTTCCATAAATGGATGCTGGATCTAGTCAAATGCCTTCTAACTATTGATAAACTGTGTGATTTTTGTCTCTTTGTTTTTTAAATATTTATTTATTTATGCATACAAAAGCTGGGGTACAGTCCAGACCATGCGGGGGGTGAGAGGATTCACCAGCGACAGCGTGGGGAACAGAACAGGCAGACTGACCAAAATACATGGCTGAGGGGGGCACTGGGTGAGCCAGAAGAGGTCGGCTTCGCCATGTGGGTTGCTCTCTTGACGGCCGGGAACTAAACTTGTGATGCAGAGGCTGCGGATTGCTTCATAGTGCAATGCTTAACTCCTTGCGCCACCAGGGAGGCCCTGATTTTTGTCTCTTTATTAATGTAATGAATTATATTGGTTTATTTGTACATGTTGAATCACCCTTGCATCCCTTTAATAAGTCCCACTTTGATGTATTGTTGAATTCAATTTGTTAAGATTTTATTGATGATTTTTGTGTTTATGTTCAGAAGGAATATTGATAATCTATAGTTTTCTTTTTTGATGTCCTTGTCTGCTTTTAGTAACACAGTGATGTTGCTGTCATAAAATGTATTAGGAAGCATTCCTTAGGTTTTTCTCCAATATTTTGGAAGAATGTGAGAAAGACTTATATTAGTTTGTCTTTGAAGGTTTTGTGGAACTTCTAGTAAATCTATGTGGCTTTGGGTTTACTTTATTTGTTTTATGGCATACTATTCTTTGCTATTTCAATTTCCTTGCTTGTAAATGCTGTGTTTTGGTTTTCTATTTCTTCTTCAGTTAGTCTTAGAAAATTGTGTATACTTCCAAGAAAATTGTCTTTTCCATTTCCTTCCAGATTTTCTAATATGTTTGCATAAAGATGCTCATAGTAGTCTCTTGTTATTCTCTGTATTTCTGAGACATAATTTCTCTTCTTTCATTAATTTCCTACCAAATGTTAACTTTAGCTCTTAGCCATCAGTACAGAAATTTAGTGCATATATTAAAAATGAGATTATGTCTCTCTTATATGGTAAAGTTAGGAAAAGTGAAAAATAGCAAAGAAAAAAGAAAAATACAGGTCATTGTATTCAAGAACTCCATTTGAGAATGACTTAAATAATTCAACCTAGAAAGGTGAAGAGCAAGAGGAAATTTTTAGGTAAATTTCTATAATTTTGAGGATGATGTTAAAAAGAGCCCAAGTATATCTTTTAATACTACTTGTAGAATAATGTAATACATTGCTAAACTTCTAGGGATAACACTGGAGAAGATATCAATAATAATACACTGGATCTAAAAATTGTATCAGATGGCATTTTAAAAAAATCTTCCCCTGGTGATTTTAATATGCAGTGAAGGGTAAAAACCATGAATATACTACACAACATATATGTAAAAATATAAATTAAAAGTTGAAAGAAAATTACATAAAAATTTTAAGAATGGTAATCTCTGGTTGTTAAGATGGCAGAAATTTATATTTGATTTTTTACACATAAAAACATTAAATGATTTTGTTACTAAGTCTAACTCATCTTTGGATCATTACTTATCATCTGGTAAAAGAATAATAAAATGTTTTCTTTACTGATTTTAATTACAAAAATAAAATTCAAAGTAATAAATATATTAAGAGGACAGAAGTGTAAACTGCAGGTGATCTTTCCTGTCAACAGGTTGAGTGACGAATGATTAAAAAAACAATCATAGAGCCTCCCTGGTGGTGCAAAGGGTTAAGCAGCACACTATGGAGCAATCAGCAGCCTCTGCAGCATGAGTTGATACCTGGCCAGGCAGGG